ACGGACAATAATAGTTGTTGTAGGTGTTTTCGGACTCAGCAGTGAGAGCCGTGTTCCCCCAGCTGTAACGTGCTTTGTTTAGTGGCTCTGGGATCATGGAAGACACTGCGCGAGTACCGATTGTTCTTCAATATACAGATATATATATATATATATATATACTCTTTATCTTTTTAATAAGACCATGGACTCTTTTTTAATAGTTTCCTGATGATTACCACAAAAACAAAAGAAATAAAAAAAAGAATTCTTAGGATCGTCATGCTTCGTCATTGATATTCAATACGTGCCTCATGTCGATTAGATTTCACCTAATCATCCTTTTTCTTTTATATGACTCTCTCCTACTTTTAAATCATCATTTGAAAACGTGTGATATGAAAAAAAAAGATTGTATAAATGTACATGTATTTTCTTTTTTTTGTAATTTATTCGTGAGAGCTCTGGTTATACTACTACTACTAACAACAACAACAACGGTGATAAATCAAAGTCCCCAATGTATTGAAAATATTTCGGTGTCCGTTAGCAATAGCTTCTTCATTCTACACCTGCCGCACTAAAAGATTCCTGTGTGTGGCTAAAGCAACGGCACAGCACGGCACGGCACGGCAACAACAGCTCTAGCTCTACACCAACCTGACCAAGAACGGGGACCACCGCTTTTGCTGGTATTATAATCGACTACGTTGCAAGATACCCAACTAAGCTGCCGTTCACTTCGACCATTTTATACTTTCTAAAGCCGCTTACTTTCGTAACTTGGTAAATACCATGGTGGTGGCCTCATTGTATGTATTTTACCCATTACCGAGTTCTCTACGTCTCTCACAAATTTATTATGTGTGTACGTTCAATTTTAATTTGTTTTATTTAGCTATCCTTCCTACCCCCAAACCCCCATTTATATTCTCACTTGTATTCGATTAATGTATTGTATGTATTTTTTTTGAAAAAAAATTGTTATATATATATATCTTTTTCTTTTTCTTGTTCTTGTTCTTTTTTATTCGTAGACAATTCCTCAAACTTTACATTTTCATCGTCATTAATTTTGTCCTAGAACGATAGATTACACACATTCTTGCGCAATAATTATTTCATCAGTTTAAAATGATCAACTAACTTCCGAGAAAAATTCATTTGTTCGAGGTAATTGCAATTGAAACGATCAAGCAATTGCGAGAAACAACGAGGAAGATGCGCAAACATGTAGGAGAGTAATTTTTATCTAATTTAGAGATAATTATCGTACTTTAATAATCTTCCAAGTTGGATTGCAAACACGATTATTTCGATAAGGATCAAACAAAAATTGACTTTTATATAAATTGTAGGAAAATATAAAAGAAATTGATAACGTGATTAACACTTGTAAATGAATATTATATCCAGTATATATATCGAGATATATGTGTCGGAGAAAGATGAGAGGCTTAACTGGGAATAATATGGAGGTAAGTTTGGAAAGTTACTACGATTCGTGGTAAAGAAAAATAATCTAACTCTGGGCGGGGAAAAAGATAGGAGTTGTATGTGTATGTGTATTCCTACGTGAGAAATAGAAAGAAAGAGAGAGAGAGAGAGAAGTGTATGCGAGTAGAAAAGGGAAGTGGGACTAGCTTGCCTTGTACTACTTTCTTGCACAGTTACAGGAACAGTGATAGCCATCAACTCTTATGTTGGAGCAAAGGAACTTGCTTATTTAAAAAAATAAAAAAAGAAATCTTATAATAGGATATAAATCGAATTAATCTACGATGCTTATACATATATACAAAAAATTACGAAAGCACATCACCGATAATATTATTCCAAATGTAATGTTTAAAAAAATGAAATATATAAAAATACGAATGAACGTTAAAAATCAACCATAAAAACTGGTGTTATATGTTCAGAAAAAAAAAAAGAATTATATTAAAAAGGCGATAGAATTGATCGATTATATGATTAATAATAATTAATTACGATCTTCATAGTTAATATTCTTAACGAGTTTAATCGTATTCAGTTTAATAATTCTCTCGTTCGACTTTTAATGATTTCATCATATTGAAACGATTTAAATAAAAGACAACAAAAATGTAATTTTTTATATAAAATGATATTAGCAAAGATGATGATGATGATGATGATGATGATGAATAGTTTGTGATGATGAAAATGGCGAACTCTAGCGAGCGAATGAAAACGTGTACGCGCGCGCACGCGGGTGGCCTAGCGCCATTTTATAGAAGGCTTCGCTTTGCGGCCATCTTTCGCGTAACAACTCCAAATGTTTCCGCCTTCGTTCGTTTCGGATTGCGTCTCCTCTCTCTCTCTCTTTCTCTCTCTCTCTCTCTCTCTCTCTCTCTGTTTCTACGCTTTCTCTATCGCTTTTTATATGTGGTAGTAGATTTCGTCCTATTCGGCGTGTCTAATTTTACACGCTGACCTCGAAACCCGTACTTCGTTCTCCTCCTGCCCACGTTCTCTTCCACGCTCGTACTTGAGATTAAAAAAAGAAAAGAAGAAGAAGAAGAAAAAAAAAATGAAATGAATGAAGAACCTTCAAAAAGATGAGCGAACGAGTTAGAGATAGACAGAGATAGATAGGAAGAGAGAGAGAGAAAGAGAGAGAGAGAGAGAGAGAGAGAAGTCAAACAAAAAATTACAAATCCACAACGAATGTTTCATAAAATTGTATATAAAAAGGAAAAAAAAAAAAAAAAGAAGATTGTTGAAATAAATCAATTTTTTTCTAACTCGTACTTGAAAAATGTCATCATTGAAATTTTGTTCTTTTCCTTGATTGAAGATTCATCATAAACCTATATCTTATAAACTCTATACCATTCACATTATTATACCAACGTTATAAACGTTTATTAATCTTTGACTCCTCATCCGGTTTTGCATGGTTACAAGGTCATCACATACTTCCGCCTTATTCGATATAATATTTGAACGTGAAATACATCTCTGCAATACTTTAATCAACATTGTAACAAAAATCCTAACATTATCGTTAAGATATTCATATTATTTAATGCCTATGAACTTAGAGATTTGATTTCTACTCACGTTATTAGTTAAAAAAAAAAAAAAAAAAAAAAACAAAAACCTCACCCACATTCTAAAGAATATAAAAAATATTTCAAATAAAACAAGTATTTTACAACCTTCCTTTAGATATATCTGCGTTCTTTCTCTCAAACGAATTTATCAAACGAAAAGAAGATAATGTTAGTTGATTCAAGGTTAAAGGTTTCACCTGCGTATATGGTGAAAGAATAAAATAGAGAGAGAGAGAGAGAGAGAGAGAGGATAGAAAAGAGTATGGTCAATTCTTCTTTGGGGTGAGATTCTAGGCGTCGACGCCAATGCCGCGTGGATGACATCATTGCGAAACGGTCGTTTCGTTAGGCCGAGTTGGTGGAGGATGACGATGAAGTGGAGGAAAAGAAGAAGGTGGAAGAGGATGAGGAGGAGGAGGAGGAGGAGAAGGAAGGAGGTGAAGGAGGAAGAGGAGGAGAAGGAGTGGTAAAGTCTGCGGATGATTCGTGAGGGGTGAAGAGTGCAGGGGGAGGCATTGCGAGAACTATGCGAAAAGAGGAAGAGGATGGGTCGAGGGGAATGAGATGCGCACACGAACGCTAGAAAGAGACAGATATATAGATAGAGAAGAAGGGGTGATGGTGATGGGGGTTTAGGGGGGTAGGATACGTTTATGTGTGCGTGTATGTGTATTAGTATGCATGTATATGTGTTGCGTGTCTCTGTTTCATGGTGTGTGTTTGTTGGCGCGATTGCGCGTCGTACCATCGAAGCAAATTTCATACGTGTTTGTATATGTGTGTATATGTGTGTATAAGGAAAGATAGCAATGTAAGAGAGAAAGAGGTGAGATCATGGATAGGAGAGGAGAGTGGTGAGGATGAAAAAAGGGTAGAGAGCATGATATAAGCATGCCGCGGTCAATCCGCGTAGTGGGGGGAAGCGGGTAACCAGGCCTTGAAGAAGAAAAAGAGAACAAAAGCGCACGCTCTGCGACTATGCGCTACGTAGCGCGCGCTTTTGTAAGAGAAAGAGAGTAGAGGGAACACACAACACATAACCCATCTTTACGCGAGAGAAACTCTTTCTTACGAAGAGTAATATTTTTTTGTTGTAATCTGCTGCGACTAACATTGATACGATTTTTGGTTCATTTTGATTGTTCATTTGATTCTTCATCTTCTTCTTTTTTTCTTCTAGCTCGCGTTAGATACGTGGGTTTTTATATTTTTCTTTGATTTTATGAATTTCCATTGGCAAGCTAGAAGAAGAACGACGACTGAACGGAATATTCCGTTCGGAGGGTGGAACGTTTCTCTCGTTTTGTATAGTTGAGAATGATATCATAGTGTTGGTGAGAATGTAGAGAAGAAGTATAAAAGAAGAATAAGAAACATCGCGATGTAAAGGCCAAGCAAGACGTTCGTACGTCGTCGTCGTCGTCGTCATCGTCGTCATCGTCGTAGTAGTCATAGTCATCGTTGTGTGTCGTTGTGGTTTATCGCTTAACCGTATATGTGTTGGTATTTATGTACGCGTAAAATACATCAGCAACAGAGAACGTTCGTATTACGCGTAGAACGGACCCGAGTTGCGTAACCGCGACGATATCAATTATTAAGCATAGCCTTCGTTTCGAACTAGGCGAGAAACTCAACATCAACAGCAGCAGCAACTCCAGCAACAGCAACTTCAACAACTGAACAGCAGCACAATTTTTTGCTGCTTCCTACCACATTTTAAAACGCCTAAATTCGACTACTCCATTTTCTTTTTTTATTTCGTTTCTCATTTTTCTCAATTTTTTCTCCAACCCTATAAACCTCATTTGTTTTGAATTCGTTCGTACGTTCGTTCGTACTCCTGCAATATTTCACCCTTTGGGGGATGTTTTTTCTTTCCTATTTTTTTTCTTTTTCCTTTTTAATCTTTCCTTTTCTTTTTTCTTCTTCTTCTTCTTCTTCTTCTTCTTCTTCTTCTATTTAAACTACTTTTTATCAGTAGATACACGCTTTTCCGCACCGTATCTCATCACATCGCTAACTATCGCGCTGCATTAAACCCGCAAAGCCGTACGACAACCGTTGCTACGTCGACACTGTAAGCTATCGTAGCTTATTATACTTTATTTCTTTATTTCTTACCAAACGAATTTGAAAGTCTTACTTTTGACGCGATAATAACTATGTAAGTAACATCAAAGAAGAAGTAGTAAGAGAGAGGAAATATTTAAATACTGCAACGATTTTTTATTATAAGAATAAAGATAGATAGTAGATAAAAAAATAAATTCTCAGAGATATCAAATTTAAGTGAATCCAAGTCACGTGTATCTCGAGAATGGCTTTGAAAAAAAAATCAACACACCTACGTACTTAACGGTACACGATTTAAAAATTCTTGAAAAAATAGTCCAATCTATTAATCTCCGCATTTCTTCAATCGTTTCCCCCTAAATTAAAAAATAACTAGATAAATAAGGTAGAGAAGATGGTAAAGTAAAAATCAAGGGAGGAAAGTAAAAAAAAAGAAGATGTAAGTGTGTAAGCAATGACAAAGGGTGGAAGGGAGATGCGGTTTACGATGCGGATTGATAATCCGTTTCTTTGCCGAAAAAGCCACCCTAACTTTCACCCTCGCACCATTCCGAGACGTGGCACTTCTAACAAAGATGGCTGCCATGGCAGGAGGTCAGCGGGTGTGCGCTTAGACCACGCCCTACGACGCGTCGCAGGCAAACCAAACGAAGCTTTCTAAAGGCGATTAGTTCGCAGTGAATCCGAGTGGAGGCCGCGTGCGAAGCGAACTCAACGATGTTGACGACGCGTCAAGGGCGCTTCAAGGACGAAGAACGCTCCTCTTTTAGGAAGAACGCGCGCGCGCGCCCCCTTGCCAACACACACAAACACATTCCTATAGTCTTTATCTTTCTCTTTTCTCCTTCCTACACATATATATGTGTATCCCTTCTTCCCGGAAATCTTCTTCCCTTCCTACAATCCGCCATTCTTCTAGGGTCCCTAGAGGAGACAACGTCGCACCCTACCAACAACCTTCTTCTCTTCGTTTTCTTCTATTCCTTCCAAAAATATCGACCTGACTACTCTTCCCGGTCCTAAACTAATTTCTTTTTTTGCACTTCATCAATTTTTTATAGGTCAATAGTAGAAAACGTTTTATTTTTGATAATATATTAATGTCGAATAAAACTTTGTGAATTATCTGTATTGGTAGATGTATTTTTAAATAATTGACAAACGAAATTCTCTCTCTCTCTCTCTCACAATGAACCATTTAGTCAAATTATACACATTTAACAACTTTTATTTAATTAAGTCAACATTTTATCAGAGAAAATATTTTATACATTATACCAAAACGGATATAATATCGTTGCAATTATGTAGGATTTTATTATTTATAAAAATGTATTGGGTTGGCAAGAAAGTAATTTCGGCTTGCACCAATGTTTGTTTCGTTATTCTTTCGTTAATGGGAGAATTTTGTTCTTTTGAGGTTTAGTAGTTAACACTGTTTAGATTGCTATAAAAATAAATTTCTTGTACTTTTGTTTACAACTGTTAGTTTAGAAACAATTGAGTTTTATTTCACACTAAAAAACCGAAATTACTTTCTTCCCAACCCAATATAATTCGTGTCTGAGACAACACGTTTTTAATTTATTGATAAATTTTGTTTAGTAAATTGATGAAAAATTATTTGTACAGTGGTTGCACATTCATCCAACCCTATATTTAAGTAGATATATTATAACGTTCAATTTCTCGAGCGCCCTTTTGATAAAGTTAAATGTACATGACATATATGACGCAGAAATGAGCGTGTTTCCAACTAATCTATTAACTCGGTGACGCCTCTGATCGTTATTTCACACGCACGTTTCTCTTCGTACCCTTACAAACATACGCCTCACCTCACCCCGATGAAATCATCCTCCTCCTCCTCCTCCTCTTCTTTATTCTCTACGCTTTTACGAACGATTAATTCTCCTGACATGATTCTTCGAAGTCAAGGATGCTCTTAAACATAACGGTTATAAATAATTACAAATACATATATTTTCAATTGATAAGAAAATTGTCATTAACATTGATCAAGGGGGAAAAAAAAAATACAAAAGATATTTCCAACAGCAATTAAAAGTAGAAATAAAATTGTTTTAGAAAATTTATCAATTAACTCACACATCAATTGTCTACATTAATTGTACCCAAATCAATATATCAATTATCTACAATTTTCCTACAATCGTTCAACAAATTCATCGTCATAATTAGACTTTACGAGCGTTTATTAGAATTGTTCGATTAGAATATCTATGACATACATACATATATATCATATTATTTGGCAATTATTTGTAATAAGTATAAGTAAGTATACTAAACGAAGCTGTGGTCGAAAGAGACGAATGTTGCCACGAGCCGTGAGAAGCATGGCGCTTTGAGAAAGGGGGCCCGAGGGGTGATACTGCGTAGAAGAAGAAAAAGAGGCAGGAGTTAGGGTATAAGAGGAGGAAGAAGAAGAAGAAGAAGAAGAAGATGAAGGAAGCGTAGGGAAGGAGAAGGAGGAGGAGGATGAGGAGGAGGAGGAGCAGAAGATGGTATTTCCGCTGTTGCATTGCCTATCCATTTGGCAGGTTTGGCTAAGGGCATGCGCACAACATGTGCCCACCTACCTACTTACCTATCTGTCTGTTCGTTTCTCGAGCGCTTACCTGCTCGCTTGCCTGCTTGCTTTTGCTTACTTGCCTGCTTGCTTGCTTGGCCGCTTGCTTGACTGCTCGCCTGCCTACCGGTTTGCCTTGATCCCTTGAATAGCCACAAACACATATACGAGAGTATACTTACATACACATATTTACTTACACAGTAGGTGGGTTGGTAGGTAGGTAGGTAGGTACGTCTTTCTTACGTAAGCGCCCGTGAGAGAGCGAGTTATTACCACAGGGACGTCAATATAGAGAAAGAAAGAAAGAAAGAAAGAAAGAAAGAGAGAGAGAGAGAGAGACCGGATCCGGTACAAGGGACGTTCAAATTTGACCCGTAGATCGACTCGTTTTTAACCCTTCGTCATCATGATCTCTCTCTTTCTCTCTCTCTCTCTCTTGTCTTTTTTTTCCCTTCCTATTTTTCTTTTTCTTTTCTTTTCTTTTCTTTTCTTTTTTGTTCTATTATTTTCTATTCTATTCTCTTATTCTGCGTTCACATATTTTTTTTGTCCTTTCTTTCTTTCTTATTCTTCTTAGAAAAGATCTCCAATTATAATTTTCTTTTTTTTTTTCAAATTGTTTCTTTCTATTACGTCAGAGTTATTATGCACTATAGTTATGTAAATTTATAGTAATCAGTAAATATGCATATGTGTGATCATTGAATCGATTAAATATGGGAGAATGAAAACAATATGATTGATGTGTGTATGAGGCATCAAATTATTCATATTTTATTGATATATTTTAATCATTATATCTACTCACTTCTTCTTATTCTTATTCTTCTTCTTTTTTATTTATTTATGTCTCTCTCTCTCTCTCTCTCTCTCTCTCTCTATCTATCTTTTTCTGTCTCACTGTTGGCCAAACTTATTACGGAAGCGCAGCTGGCGTCGAGCGGTGCATTGTAAATTTATCACCGAAACATGCCTCTGGGGAATTTCGTTTGTAACAGGACACAAATCGTAGCGAATTTAATACACCGACGAAATTGAGATTCTTTCGGGAAGGGAGGAAAGAGAGGGGAGGTGAGGTTGAGTTTGAGTTTGAGTTGAGTTAAGTTGAGTTAGGTTGGTTGAGGTGGTAAGGATTTGTATGGAAATAATTCTATGCTGTACATATTTAGATTCTCATTTACAAGGTTGATTTTTGTTAGGAATATTTGAAAGAGTTTTAAGAGAGTAAATTTACACACTAATTTTTCATTGGCTAAATTTGAATCCTCTGACTGAGAATTCATAAAGAAAACGCGTCTGGAACTTATCATTCGTATTACACACAGACAACTTTACGACGTAATACTTTAACATACTTCCCAGTGATACCATTTGAACGATATGTTACTGAAACAATAATCAAAAATTTGTTTAAGAAACAAAAACCTTGATGTACGAAACTCTAAGTAAGTTACTTTCGAAGCAACAAATTTTCTAATGCATGTAAAAGTAATCGAGAAAAATTAGAACCTTTCAAAATTACGGAGATATTCTTTTATATCATACTAATTATTTTCATTATACAGCATTTCTTTAAAAAAAAAAAAAGAAAAAAGAAGAAAAAAATGAAAATTGCAGGATGAACTTTATAAATAAATTAAAATAAGAATAATATATTAATAAATATCTGTGGAAGGTTGGTGACACAATTTGTTACTTGGAAACGATCGGATCGATTCATCTTTCAATTTTGGTAATAGAAAATAATGAACAATTTAACGAATCAAAGTTTGAAGCTTTGCGACGCTTTTTAAGGTAACCCTCTCTCTCTCTTGTTCTCTCTTCCTTTTTGAGCATATATATATATACATAAATATGAATATAAGTAAGTAAGTAAGTAAGTAAGTATATGTATAAACGTAGACTCAAACCTAAAACAAAACTTACGAAGCTGGGCTTTCGTAGATGCAGTGGCCCAGTTTGCAGAGAGTAGCTACCACTACAAAGACAGTTACTGTTGGAAAAGTGGGCGGATAGGATACGTATCTGTGTCACAGCACACGCGCTCTGTAATCAGAACTTTTCATCGTTAGCATTCTCTCTTTCTTTCCTTCTTTCATTCTCTGTTCTTGGCCCGTTTGCACTTTGCACGAACGTATCGTTCTCAAATGAAAGATTCAAAATCTTTTACCGTTCAGATCATCATCAATGATCATACACACGTAATGTCATTAAAATTAGAAACAAACAAAAAATGAAAAACGACAGTGAAAAGAATATCACTTTATTACTTAACCTTTTATACGTACTACACGCCATTATAGTGGCTTCCACGGATGCCATTTTCCAGTATGGCGCATCAATACAATGGATGTCGCGGGCGGGTGCCATTCTCCAGTAAGACGCGCCACTATAATGGCTTTCTTTTAAAATATATAATACCTAATTTGACTATTAAATTAAAAACAATAATTTAAATCATAAAAAACTTCATTAAAATGTATTCCATTAGAGAAGAGCCATTGTTCGTCATACGTCGTAGTTTTATCGTTTTATCGCAACATTGAGTCGTACTTAAGAGGTTAAATTTCATTTATATTAATTAATATTAATAAGGTGATTTAAAATTAAACATTGAGCTAATATACACCCATCGAATTACAATAAAATTTAAATCTGATCAACTAACGGATATTACGAAACATTGAAAAGAATTGTGAAAAACTACAGGAAACTCGAATGAGTGTTGTCGAATCCAAAAGTCCATGATAGAACGAAGAAACGTAACTTCTTACGTGTATATGCAAATTCGTTAAATAAGCATATACCATATCTTATAAGGAGTCAGAATATAAAACTCGTTTTCAAGCTTACTATTCCCAAACGAAATAAAGCTAAGCGTCGTTGAACATTTAGCATATTGATAATATGTAGTAGGTTGAAAAGTATTATTATCGAAGCTTGACATCTCTCAATTCATTTGAAAAATACACAGCTGTCTCTCTTTTTCTCTCTCTCTCTGATATAATATAATATAAAGTGAACGTTTAGATGGTATATACATGTATATATATATATATAGTTACAATATATGAATACTTTCACCTCGATACGAGCTGGTTCTTATTGATCGTCACAAAGTGGTAGAACCTGCATTCGTTATGTCGAAATCGAACTTCTTGTCCCGTGAGAGAGATCCGTTAGACGAGAGAAAGAGAGAAAGAGAGAGAGAGAGAGAGAGAGTTTAACATAGAGAGAAAACCAATAGAGAATGCAAACCAAGAGCCATACGGTTTCTATCACACCCTTTACTACTCTCTCTCTATGCATCCCCCTATCTTGAGATTTATTGGACATTTTACAGAACACCGATGCATGAACACCTAATCGACTAGACTTTCTATCCTATTTATCGTCACAATGACGTAAATATATATTTTCAACGATATCATAACCATTACATATTGGTTATCTTGATAATATCAACATTCATTCCCGTTTAGAAGAATTTCAAAACTTGTATTTTAGAATAATTATCGTTAGTTTGAAATTAACTATTAATTGAGTACAAATACTTGTAGAGCTTGCTGATATGTAAGATTTATTATAGATATATAAAAATGTTTATTGTTAAATAATTTAATAATGGTTAATTATGTTATAATATAATATCAGTTGTTAGTAAATCATAAAAAACCTAACTTACTTCACAGTCTTATCTAATTATTGACACATTATCTAATTACATGTTTATATAACGTTTGGAAGAGTTTGAAAAACAATCAAACAACATAATAGATTTCTAATCTTTATTTTCGTATTCATTCGTCTTTGGTTAACTCGATATTTGCATACACACTTAGAACATTCTTAACCAATGTTAGAAACAAGCAGTTAAAAGGAAGAGTATCATCGAAAAGACCCAATGATGAAAACGATATTCCCATGAATTAACGAGATGTCTAGCTTTGTCGGTGAACAATACGATCGTGTCAACGTAACGTTATGTTTCGAACAAAAGCCAAGCTTGCAAAGTTCTATTTAATACTTATATGTAATATATAAGTGTATGAGTTTCTATGTGTGTGCCATTTTACTTCTAGCATACGCAGCGCAGGCGCTAGAAACACGTGAATACTTTCATAGTAACGCGTCTGCTGCATCATAATCGGGATGTTTCATAGCACATACACATATATCTATACATACACGCGTATTTATATATATATATATATATATATGCACATACATAGCGGTTGTCCTACATTTAGTGGCTATAACCACCAAGTCATGGTATTATGAACTAGGCCGGATGACTCCCTCGCGATTCTATGCACGCGAAATTGCAATTCCACGTCCGAGCATTGTCTGCTCGATCTCAACATCAGACCGGTCATTTTAATAGGAAATTTCGCACGTTGCTTTTTACTTAACACATTTACGTGGATTATTTCGTTATTTTTTTTTTCCTTATGAAAAAAAAAGAAATCAAGAAATATGAATGTACCTAGAAAAATTCTAATATCGGGAACATCGTCGGTCATTTTGGTCTTGCTAATTCATTTGTTCGTAAATTCGCTCTTAAAATGGTGTTCATGGAAGAACGTTTTAATTATATGTTACTTCTTTTTTGTTTCTTTTTTAAATGTCGATTATTACATTCATATCCTATTCGTCACCTATTCGACAAAATAAAAATGAAAAAAGACAAATTACAATTAGGAACGTAGCCAACCATTTTGGTTTCCACGAGTATAAGTATCCATATCCTGTCTTAAAACGGTACACTCGTGTAAGGACATTTAATCGTATATGTTACCGTTACATCACGAGTGTAACGTTACGTTATGAACAAGTGAGAGGGAGAAAAAAGAAGATGGACGCCGAAGGAAGTCAATGTCAAGGGACACATTATGCATTTCGTTTTAATAAATCAAAAATGAAACAAAATTTTTTGATAATTTCGATTGGAATTGAATAAATGTAATTGAAGAGGAAGGTTCAATTGAAATATTTAATCATAAAAAAATCAATCTGGTAGAAGAGGAAAAGGTATGAAAAGGAAATAAAATGATGATGGCCTATTGAATTTGAGTTCTAGTTTTATCTAAGATGGCGCCACACGTAAAACCGTTGCCCATGTAACTCGGAGAGTCTTTACGTTCATTATATATACATATATTCTTATGTACATACATATGTACACATATATATATACATCTATCAACATATACGTTCTCACATACATATCGGTGTAGAAAAAAAGAAAAAAAGGGCGTCGTTTCACAGCAGCACGCATACGTTTACGTGTGTGGGCGCGATCACGCGGTAACGCGTGCGGCTTTAGTGCGAGCATAGTTGCGCATGCACGAATAAGCAATTCTTTAATCCCGGTTAAAACGATTTTTCAACGTTCCATGTTTTATTTATTTATTTTTTTTTTTTCTTCTACGTTCGAATAACGACGAGAAAAAAAAATATCACAAGTTCATTCTTCGTTTTTTTCTTCTTTTTTTTTCCTTTTTCTTTTAATCAACGATATTAATAACCATCGGATAAAGGTTGAAATATCTTCGAACAAGTTTACAACAAAGTTGAATTTCTCTAATTAACAGTATAACTTTGAAGTATTGCATATTCTTGCATACGTATCATCACATTTCTTCTTCATTTTCTTGCTAAATCTTTAACCCATTGCACTATGAGCTCATCATTACTGAAATAACAAAAACAAATTTTCTATATAAATGTTGAATCATACAACTCTGACACTATTGCTTCATTTGCTTAATAATGAAAATATATACGCAGTAATAATAAACGTATAGGATAAGGAAATATTTCTTGGAAAAATTCTGAAGCTCTTGCAAATGAAAAATTTACTATTATTAGAAGTAAAGTTCTAAAGGATCAAACCTAGAAAACAAAGTATATTTTACTATAACGCTTAATTATTAATTCAATATGTTTATTTTTAGATACAAAGGAAGTGGACACGGACGAATGAAACAAAGATGGCGCAAGTGGCTTTTTTAAGAGAAGAAAAAAAAAGAAAAAAAGAAGTGATCTAATTGCAAATAGGTAAGAATAGGATGTCGAAATGAATAGTTTGTATAGTAATTAAAATACATACTATTCTGTCTCTCTGTGTCGTAATTTCGATGCGTGCGTATTCGTTCTTTTAAGTTGCGTACTCCAGCGTTCATCCCCACCCCCGTTTGCTTGCTCACCGAAAGCTAGCGTTTCTGTACGGTTTGTTGCGTAACGGTGCAGAGTCATGCGATAGGATAGGATGTGTCGTGGGGGTAGAGGGGTAAAAGAGGCAAGAGAGGAGGAAGATCGGGGCATATAGACGATACCCATGTCGGAAGGGGACCCAAGAGAGAACCGAGACACGCACCAGAAAAGAGAAAGAGAGATAGAAGTATGTATATATGTATATACATATATATATATATATATATTGAGAGGGGGCGGTGTCAGCCTTGAAACGCGTACGCGAGTTGCGTGCGTCGTCACGAACGGCAAGCTTGCGAATTCGCATAGGTTTCTTGTTCCAACCAATTTTTTACAAGTCTTTTTATTTTATTTTATTTTTTTTTTTACAAAATCTACTACGTTTTAATAATACTTTTACAGATATTTTTTTGTAGCCTTACAAATAAAATTCTGCTCTCTTTTAATATATATATAATATATATATAATATAAGTATTAATATTATTATTATAAGTATTAGTATATTAATAAGTATTAGTATTATAAATAATATAATAATATATACATATATATATATATATATATATATATATATTATTATATTTACTATATTTACTTACTACCGAAATTACTTTCTTGCCAACCTAATATATATATATATATATATTTATAATAATAATATAATATAATATAAAATATATAATCTAATAATAAAATAATAATATAATACTAATTTAAAAATAGAAATAATATTATAGACACACGCATATATAGACAGATAATAGAATTGTTGAATTTTATATGTATATTATATATATATATTATATTATAGAATTTTATATATTATATGTGTGTTCAATATTGTACACATGATAGATGATACATCCTACTCTTTATTGAGAATTAATTAAAAAGAATAAAATAACAAACAAAAAAATAGAAAATATCTTATTCAATTTTATCTCGCTAGCATTCTTCTAATCGTCGTTATGCCACCACACCATTACAGACCTATCGGAAAGCTTTTCTTCCTCCATTCTGCCCTTGGATGTTCAACACGTAACTCGTCGACCTTGTAGTCTCTGAGAAACAAAAGAATCCCATTAACTTATTACATATATTATGTTGTTTTTATCTACGAGTTGCTGCATACATACTTACGTTAATGAACAAGTGGTCATTTTATTTTCTTTTTATACATTTCTATTGAAATAATTGAAAATAACTATTATTTTAACTAATAATAATAATAATAAAAATAAAAAGTACGCGCGTACATTTTGTAAGAATGATATTTCTCTTTAATCATACACGCGATATTCACTTTATTTAAATAACAAAACAAATTTTTCTTTTTTATTATATTCAATTACTAATGAAGTATGGTATAAAAGTTAATCTGAAATTGATCGAGCGTGAAAATGGAAAATGTAATTGAAATGTATAAAAGTGGTTGAAAAACAACAAAAATTAGGCCAACGAAAGAGAAGAAAAATAAAATGAAGGGTGAAGTTAAGAAAGTAATAGAAGAAAGAAAAAGAAAGGAAAGTAAGTAAGTAAACTAAGTAAGTAAGTAAGTAAGTAAGTAAGTAAGTAAGTAAGTAAGTAAGTAAGTAAGAAAGAAAGAAAGAAAGGACGAAAAAGGAAAGCTCTCGGGGAAGAAAAGGTATAGCCCAATTCGACTCGTAGAACTCGAGTCCGATCGATATCGTCACCATAGTAACAGGGACAGCGCCGTAGTGCTCTACTACTGATTATTTATGTCAAGGATTCCCCCCTTGCACCGAAGCTCAAAACGACGCTCAACACAAGCGCAGACCGAACCACCCCTAAAGAAGAGGAGTGAGTGAGTGAGTGAGTGAGTGAGAAGAAGGGGTCGATCCGGCTTGGCCAACGTTTGTAGCCTTTACCATCCTCATAATAAGGATATGGTGGTAGGTAAAAAGATATAGGTGGTTACTTGTAATTGTAGGTGTAGATATAAGTATTGGTATAAATGGTAACGGGGTAAAGAGGGGGATGGGATGGGATGGAAGAGGGGAGGAGGAGGGTGGTAAAAGAAAAGAAAGTAGAGAAAAGGGAATGAGTTTAAGATGTAGAATGGTGTGTGGATATCGTGGGATTTAAGAGACGAAAGAGGAACGAAATGTTTCACTACTATATAGCTTGCTTTCGACCTAGTTTCACCCTCGTAAGGCGGTGGTAGCATCAGGAGCAATCGATATTGCGCAGAAGGAGGGCCATCATGCGTTAGACTAAGCAAACCAAATTTTATTATTCGATGTATAACGTCAAACGAAAAATATCTTCGTTGGAAAATCATCTAAACGAAATTAACAGAACTATCGTAATACTTAATACAAACATAGATCATTTAGACAAGTTTATTAATAAGAAGTATTTTAAATGAGAATATGTATATATATATATACCTTAGGAATTTATTCGTTTAAATACACCGACTTACATCATGATTCATACAGTTCTTACTGATTCATCTTGTTTTATTCTTAATTCGAGTACATCGCCAATATTAGCTGCGCTGTTTCGAGAAATGTCAGCTGAAGGGAGGATAAGGATTAAGGTGCATCGTTTTTTTTTTTTTATTTCTTGGTTGTATTCTAAGTAGCATTTTTAAAGTTCTAATTATAATCATTTTTAAGGTTAATGTCTATAATAAATGTATTATAGAATACTACCAAGAAAGTGAATATAAAAAAGAAAATGTATTGAAATAAGTAAACGCGTAAGGATTTTTTTTTTTTTTTAAATATATTTTATAAAACATCCTATTTATACAGCATATAAAACAATACTCTGTATTTATTTTATATTCACATGTTAGCTCTATATGGCTATACCATCATAATCCTTCTCCATGTGTATTATATCTGTATAGTCGGCGGATTAACATTTATACTATGACAGCGTACTGTTTTCCGTTTGTTGTAAGGTACCTGTATGCTTGGTGCCAGAGAGCAATGATGCATTCAGGTTGAATTGATTAGCATTCATTATTTCAAGTTTCGGAGCAATATCCAATTCCGTGACGTCTCTGCTTATGATCTGATTGAACACCTCGTTTGTAGTAGGTTCTATAATATTAGTTGATTCTACTACCTTTTGTTGTTGTTGTTGTTTATTATCTTTATTCCTTGCGTTTTCCGAAATGCCATTCAATACTTGAACAGATTTATTTGGATCATCAAGATTTACAATATGATTTTTCAAAGGATCAGTATTGCTTGGTTTATTTCCTATATGATTGTGAACTATTGCATGATTGGCAAAAATAGTATCTGTTTTACCCAAGAACTGGTTATTTGATAAATCATTATTGTAACTTCTGTCTTGACCGTTACTAGTCCAGAATGAATCGTCGAATATTTCAGTGTCCAGTTGTTCGCGTGGCAAACGATTAATACGAGCTTTTACAATAGCAAGATGTCTGTGCACATATTCTTGATGAGGAGCCAATCTTGCGGCACGTTCCAAACATTGTTCCGCTAATCCCAATTTACCACGTTCTACCATTACTACACACAAATTATGTAATCCTTGAATATTCGTTGGATCCATTTGTAATATTCTGTGATAACACTAAAAAGATATATTTATGATAATATGCTATTAACAAAAGTGATAAATTAAATAATAAATATATTATAGACAAAATGTATTGTTTCATTACATTTTCAGCAGCATCCAAATCTTTGATGTTATTTATATAAATATCTCCTAATAAAATTAGGCCTTTAACGTGATCCGGATGGAACCTAACTAATTGGTTTAAAAATGGTACTGCTTCGAGTGGACGTTGCTCGTCTGCTAATAATAAAGCCAAATTGAAAAGAGCCGATCGAAAATCTTCCTTCAAAGCTACAGCATTTCGAAACCAACGTTCAGCACTGCCACTGTCGTGATCGTCCATGGCTAACATTCCAAGATTAAAATGAACGCGTTCATTGTTCGAATCCTAAATCAAAATTTCATAAAATATATAATATATTTTTCAAGTGAAAACTTCATTGCATTTGTTTCTTATTTCAATTTACCAGTCTTCGAAAAATTCAATCAATGCACGAATGTAATAAGAAATTTAGTCAATGCATGAGTCTACGAAAAGTTTAGTCAATGCACGAATATGTAAGAAAAAAAGTTTTTCAATTTTAAAAAATCAATGAACTACGAAGAAATTCATCAATGCACGAGTCTACGAAAAGTTTAGTCAATGATCGAATGTACGAAAATTTTTTTTTCAATTTTTAAAAATCTACGAACTACGAAGAAATTCGTCAATGCATGAGTCTACGAAAAGTTCAGTCAATGCTCATTGATCATAGCTGGTACCACTAGATGGCGACACATAGTCTACCTGTCGGTAAGATGAAGTAATAGCTAGTACCGTTAGATGACAGCACATAGTCTACCAGTCGATAAGATAAAGTAATAGCTAGTACAGCTAGATGGCAGCACATAGTCTACCAGTCGATAAGATAAAGTAATAGCTAGTACAGCTAGATGGCAGCACATAGTCTACCAGTCGATAAGATAAAGTAATAGGTGGTACCGCTAGATGGAGACACATATTCTACCTGGCGGTAAATGAATTTTTTTTTAAAATGCAAGTCTTCCGATTATTGACTAATTTCTTCGTAATCTCTGTAATAAATAATATTATTTAGTACGAACTTACTTTTCTCAGTAATTTTAAAAGTCTTTCACGTGCTACTTTGCGTAATTCAGCACGTCCTAATTCATGAAGTAATATAGCTGAATGTAATAATGCTTGCTCATGTTCTGGATCAAATTCAAGAGCTTTATCGAGATAGGCTAAAGCTTGCGACGCTTTTCCTTGTTCCAAAAAGACAACTCCAAGCTAAAAATGAAAATAAATGATAATAAAACAAATAAAATATATTTGCTGGTCCCATATTGTATGAAAAATTGATAGTATTTACGTTATAGTAAATATCCGGGTTATTACTGTCGTAAAATAATGCTCGTTCATAAACCTCCTGAGCTTCTTTTGTACGATTGAGTTTAATTAAAACATCGCCACGATTAATATAGGCTTGAGTATAATCAGCACGCATGCTGATAGCTTGACGATATAATAAATCAGCCTCTTCTAATCTCGTAGCATTTTTGGCTATTAAATTAGCCAAATTGACAAAGACATTTAAATGATTAGGTGCTATACGTGCTTGATAAGATTCACCTGGCTTTGCTTTTGGTAATAATGATTTTGCCTAAGGAATACACATTTAAAAATAATTAATAAATCATTTCAAAATAAGAAATGATTATAATACAAATGAATTATTTAACCTTCAAATAAGCATCTTCTGCTTCCTTAAACATTTTCAGATGTTTATATGTGCGACCAACATTAATATGAGCACCAATATCGTCACCTTGAACTTGTACAGCCATATTAAAGAAATTAAGAGCTTCTTTAAATCGACCTTGATCTTCCAATGCATGACCCACATTATTAAATAGCTTAGCATTCCGATCATTAACTTTTAAACCAGACATAAATATAGAATATTCATCCAACCAATCGTAATTCCTCATAAATGTCTTTGTTGAATGAGCGGCCAAAAGTGTTATTAATAGAAATAATGTCAGTTTTTTAAATCTAAAAAGAACAACACAGATCATATAGATATTACAAATTATTTCTAACAAATGTAATGAATTTTTATAAAGGAAGAATATTACTTTCTCATAGATAAAATACTCCATCCATATCCAACGAGCATACAAAAACCCATTGAAGGAGCATACAAAACTCTTTCAGCAATGACAAATCCAACAGGAAAGAAAAGATTTGACGCAGGTAAAAATGGTAAAATCATCATTGCTAAACTCTGAAAATATATAATTATTAAATTAAACTAATGGTGAAATACTTAAACCGAAATGTTTCTTATTTTTCATGATTCTAATTATTACCATTATAAGAATAACAGATGTTTGTCTATTTCGTGTTAAAGTGGCTGTTGCCAATAATCCTAAAATGGTACCATGGGTGGCTATAGTTGCAAGATTGCGAATATCCGTAAAACTTTCTACCAATGGTATCGTTCCCATTGTCCAATCACAACATAAATCGCTTGGTAGAAAAAGTAATCTTAAATTAACTGCTGCGAGATAATTGTACGTAAGTTGCCTTGTAGGTGTTGCAGCAACTGATGCTGGATTGTCAAATCTATAACATTTATAAAACATATTTTACAATATTGAAATAATGATCAATACCATATTTATCAATGTAAATAAATAAATACTTGAGTGTTTACCTGGTAAAAACAGGTAATTTCGAACCCATTACGTGTAATCGTAAAATCAATAAGCTAAATGTAACAGCAGTGAGTGCTGTTAAACGCTTTGTACCTTCGCTGGACCATGTTGGCGATAGTTTTTTACCATCGAATGCATATTTTATTGCTAAAGCAATATCCGATGCCTTAACCTGATAATTAAAATAATTCATGAATCCATCCATTAGAGTAAAGTAATTACAAATGTATTCTATTATACCTTTTGTACAACAAAAATTTCATATAAGACACACACAGCTGTGGCTGTTATTCCTTGTTCTTTACATAACATAGCGGTAAATACAAAAAACATAGATAATATCAGTGATTTCCATCCTGCAAAAATAAAATTATTGAAATATAATATTCTATGAGTATAAATGATTATCTTGTCTCGTATTAAATATATTTTCTTTACCTGTAGATTTTTTACTTTTGCAACACTTAGTATATGTGATTAAAGCTGCCAGATAAAATAGTGAAGACAGAGTTTCAGCTCTTCCAACCACTCCTGTAACCTGATGAAAACAATCAATAGATTATATCTTTATCATTTCAATAAAATATTCAATATTTTTCATATAACGTACGGCTTCTGTATGTATTGGATGTACAGCAAACAGCAAGGAAGATACAAGACTTCCCAAGTCAGATAAAAACATCAAACAGATTCTGTAAATGAAAATTAATTAATATCATCCTTAAAATATATCAAATACAATTATAAACAAACCTGAAGTATAATAGACACACTCCAACATGTAGAATGACATTGAGCAAATGATATCCCATAGGATCAAGCTGGTGAATCAGGTAATTCCACCGGAATGTGAGAACGCAAAGTGGTCTGTATGACTTGTGTGATTGTTCCTAAAAATAAATATTATTTAAATAATTATTAAATAAATCAAAAATATATATTCATGATATATAGGGTGGTATCCTGTAATCGATGATACAAACGTACAAAGAATAATTCTACATGAAAAATTTAGTCAAAAATTTTAAATATAATATATTCATACAAAGCTTTGCTTTTAAGAAAAATCAATTAGAAAATTTGTCGAATAAATATGCATTTGATTGAGCTTGCAACCCTAAAAACTAAAAGTAGAACCGATACAAGAAATATTATCGTACTAACAATATTTATAAACATATTAAAAGAAGCACAAGAATGCTCTCAAAAATATCCAAAAATAAAATAATAAAATGTGTCAAACTAAAACTAAATCAAACGCATGTACCAATTACAAGAAACCCTGTATATTCATAAACAAAACAATAACTCATTGTTTTGAATTCTTAATTATAATAAATATATACCTTTTAAAGAAAAAATTAAACAAATGCATATATGCAATTTATGCAACAATAAACATATAACAATGTTATAATTTATAGGAAACATTGAGGTCATAGTTAAAAAATTTTTTTTTTATTTCATACTTGACATATTTTGGTATAAAAAAAATAATCTGAAAAAAAACGAAGGAATTAAGAAAATCATTCAGTAAAGTTGCTTTCCAAATTACACATTTGGATTGCAATGAAATGAACGGACGCTTGCGGATCAATACAGAGAACACACGCACGCACACACAGAAAAGAGAGAGTAAGAGAGAGAGAGAGAGAGAGAGAGATAGAGAGAGTGAGAGAGAGATGCCAGAGGAGGAGGAGGGGCTGGTGCGCGTCCATTGAATGATCTTACACCGGTTGGTATCTCACCTTGTGCATGGGGGTTCCCCAGAAATCGTTGTAAAATACATTCTTCAGGGGTGTATGCGGCCTTAAATCACGATTATCCTTGATCGCCGAAATATCGTCAAAGACGAAATCGCAACTTAGGCTATTTAGATAAACGGCAAACGCGGTGAAGGCTATGATTGCCGCAAGTGCTCCCCGCGCAGGCACTCCCATCACAACTAACACATTAATCAGCCGTCCGGTTTCATGCGAATTAATCAAGGAATAATACTTTAGTATTAATATTAGTATTATTATTATTATTATTATTATTGTTATTATTATTATTGTTATTATTATTATTGTTATTATTATTATTATTATTATTATTATTATTGTTATTATTATTATTGTTATTATTATTATTGTTATTATTATTTTATCTTTCTTCTTCTTCTTTTAGTTTCTAACGATGTTCACCTCTCTTCTTATTATGTCTCTTTAAATATATATATATATATATATATACACATGTATATTTGTATGAATATATCTCAAAGTATATTATGTGTATGTATAATATGTATACGCGTGTGTGTGTATGTATGCATTATATATATATATATATTTATAAGGGGAGAGATTCAAAATGATTTGTATGATGTTAAACCGGAGAAAACCCGGCTAAATGTCATATCTACCAACGCCATTCGTACAAAATCGTAGCTTTCATATCGCTAATAATCTTTCACGTTATTTGATATATTTAAACACCGCCATATCTCACGCATATCGAAATAAAAAAATATTAACGCGAACATTATTATGTCAATTGTTGAGAAAAACTTCCCGTTCTTGTTCTTCTTGTTCTCGTTCTTTACCCGTTACTTGTCAACTCTTTTTCTATTTTTTATCTTCTAATTATTATTGTTATAATAATTATTATTATTATTATTAATCGACGACTTTTCTTTTCCTATTTTTGTACGATACAAAAAGCTATCGAAACGAACGAGCAAAAATCAATCGCAGAAAGGTTCGGTACGATCGAACCGTCCTCACGTCACGGAACAACAATTGAAGAACCCAGAGGCGACACGCGAGGTCGCTACAAATATCACGAAACAAGTTGCGCGCAAGCGTTCATTTTCTTCTATCCTATGCATTTACGATTATATTTAATAGATATTGTTTTTCATTCAAACGTTTTCTACAAACATCTCTCGATAAATTGTACTAATTCATTTACACGTATATATATTTCATTTATAATTATTTTTTTCTATTAAACGAAACAAATCATTGAACCCTTTCAAATCGCACGAAGTTTGCACTAAATCGAATTTTCATTATCGACCGATTATCGATATTGATTCATTTTTTAATTCTTTATTAATTTAAAAGAATACGTATTATAAATGTGCATTATTTCATTAGAATTTAATTTAAATGTAATATTAATTGTTATATTTCTTTCGAATGTGTTACTAGTAATCGAGATTTCTAATATCAAATTGAATCTATATCAATTTCCCGCCTATTTCGTAATTGGCGCGTTTAGTGTAGATGGCACTAGTGTCGCGTGTTAAAAACGCCATCTGTTACGGTAACACGTCGCATGTATACACAAATTAATACACACGTTCGCTACGAATTCTGACGGATATTTCCCTAAGTATTTAATAATTATTCAAAGCATTATTATTGTTTACAATGTTATTTATAATAGTATAATGTTTACCGAAGAAAATTAAATCTTCAATCAGAAGAAATTGTTAATAATGATAATCTAAATTTAAGATAACTATTTTTCACTGTGAGAACTTATTACGTATGTATATATGTATGTAAAACAATAACTGTTGCATTCAGTCAGTGAATATACAGTTATGTGACTACTTCGTGGACGATAATGTAAGATTTTTCTCTGACAGTTAACAGTGGAACGTATCACATAAGCTAGTAAATTATCGACTGACAAGTTAAATCAGATAATAAGTTGATATTCTTAAGGTCCACTTGATCTAAAGGTAATTACTTTTTTTCATTATATATTTTAATAATAAATTTAATGTTGAAAAGTTAGGTTACTCAACCGGTATTTGATAGGAAATAAAAGCAAGAAAAGAAAAGGAACAAAAAAAAGTGAAAAATATAGAAAGAGAAAGAAAGAAAGAATAAGCGTATATAAAAACATACTTCCTGTTCCTTTCAACCTACGATCATAGAGAGTAGTGTGGCACCGCCTTTCGTTGCTGGAGTTTCACTTTTAGATTGTTAGAGCGTAAATTTCGATTTATTCAAACGTGAATCATCCATGGTTACATTTAAATTCATTGATTTACAATTATATTTAATTGGTTATATATCTTAGTATGATATTATTAAAAAATATTTAAATAAATTATTGAATGTAAGTAAGAATATGTTTGAATATTTACTAATAAGATTAATTTTTTTAATATTATTTAATTTCTCAATAATATATAACGACTAAATATCAATATTCTTTTTTTAGATACCCTTTAATTTATAAATAATTAAAGATTAAATCATCGACGATGTCAAAAAAGCCTGGAGCTACTCAAGCTATGCATAAAGTTATTATGGTTGGAAGTGGAGGTGTTGGAAAATCTGCACTAACTTTACAATTCATGTATGACGAGGTATATCAACAAATTTATATATATTAATTTAATATTCTGTAAACTATTTTGTAGATATTATAATAAGCTTAGTACCTAGATTTATAAATATCACTTTCCTTAAAACACAAACAAATTGATTTGTCGTTGTTGGTAGTAATTGATAACGATATTAAATATTGAAATTAGTTTGTTGAAGATTATGAACCTACAAAGGCAGATTCCTATAGAAAAAAGGTTGTATTAGATGGAGAAGAAGTACAAATAGATATTTTAGATACAGCAGGACAAGAAGATTATGCAGCTATTCGAGATAATTATTTTCGCAGCGGAGAAGGATTTCTCTGCGTATTTTCTATAACAGAAGATGACAGTTTTCAAGCAACACAGGAGTTTAGGTAGAAAATGAATAATTTAATTAAGGTTTATTTCCTACGCCTCAACCATAAATGAATACGAATTTAAAGATATTTATGTACGTTTGTTACGTCCCTGTTTTTTATACATTTCAATGATAATACGTTTATAAAAATGCTATCAAATTTTATTAATGACGATTAAATGTATATAGTATTTAGATGATATAAAATTTGATAGATAAACTTTTCTTGTTTCATAGAGAACAGATTCTCAGAGTAAAAAATGACGAGAACATTCCATTTTTATTAGTGGGAAATAAAAGTGACCTGCAAGAGAAAAGGAAAGTCAGTTTAGCCGAGGCACAAGACCGATCACAACAGTGGGGCGTACCTTATGTAGAAACAAGTGCAAAAACAAAGGAAAATGTTGATAAGGTAAGAATTTATGGTCCTATTTAAATATTTTATATTTCTAATTAGTAATTAAGTATACAAGGAAAACGTAGTTTAAAATTCTACTGCGATATGATGATAATTAAAAAAAAAAAAGAAAAACGAAAGCTATTACTTATGATGTCTGAATATTGTAATAATCAGAAATAAATTACAATAATTATAGATAAATTTTATTTTTGATAGGATGATTGTATAAGTTTTAATGCATAAAATATAGTGCTGTTCATTAATTCTGCTCGCTCTACTGCCCTGTAAACTTTCTTTTTTGTATTTAATACATTTTTTAGACATTTGGGAACATAATTCTTTTATTTTTGTGCCTTCGATTATCCAAAAACATTTAATTCATCATAAAATGGGTTTATGACCTAATTAATCATAAGGAAATTGGAAGGGAATATGTTAATAAGTTTGCTATCGCTTTAGAAACTTTATGTTTGCTGCTAATATGGAATACAAAAGAACGCTACTCATGAATCTTCATGGTGTGTATCCTAGAGAAAAATAATATTAAGGTACAGTAGTAAAACGGGTTAAAGGGCGTGTACATTGATGGACAGCACTGTAAAGTGTTAATGGAATGTTGTTTTGTTTGTTATACTATGGTGTTAATCATATTATACATTAATTCTATTTAATGTTCATAGTTTAATTTAATAATTCATGGAAACAAAAATTTCATTCGCAAAATTGAAATTAATTTGTATAAATTATAATATATATTTGTGATAGATATAATTTATGTCATTTCACATACATCATATTTTATTATATTATATACCATCGTTATTTGCTATAATTTTATTATATAATAACGTACGTCACAACATTACGGACGACTAATATTTCTCCTAGTAGCATATATTTACAATCGTATGTATGGTGTGTTTTTGTAGTATGCAACATATGCCGACTAAATCCAGAATTATAATAGAATCTTAATCTTCCTAAAGAATCCGGAGTAAATTCCTGAGCTAATCCCTGGAAAATGTCTATTAATAACTAAAGATGTTGGTTAAGTGAAATAACAAGTTAAAATGCATCGTATCGTTAATTTTCCTCATTAATCTTTTTTATTTTTTTTTATCGCTTCTACTACATTTTATTTTTTTATTTTACTTTTTGTATAAAATAATGCAAAGAACAAATAACATTTAACTTAATTATAGCACTCTCTTATTAAACTATTTTCAATTAATAACCAAGAGATGTATATATATAGATTATTTCATTTAACGTACAATGGCATACAAATATTCCATCTTTGATAACACTTGTCATTGCTATCTTTATATCATCAGAGGAATGGCATGTAGTCCATGATTCATCGTTTCTCATTATTAGATTAGGTGATATATATGCTCGTGGAATCATCGCGTTTAATAGAAAAATAGAAAAGATATGATAAGCCTCTCTCTCTGACATCTTTAATATTTACTATTAATAACAATTAAAAATAAATACTAAAATACAATGAAAAATAATACATTATTATGGTTTAATTAATTTAATTAAATATATTACTTTTGTTAACTTTATATTATTAAAAAAGCATGTAGTAAGAGAGCACTGCTTGAAATTTGATATTTTTATTATCACGTATATTTTTGTGAACGTATTGTGAATGTATTTATTATTATTATTATTATTTTTATTATTATTATTATTTGTTTGTGTACGTGCTTATTTGTGATAAAACAAAACATATAGTAGTATTTTGAATAGTATCTTTAATATCATATTTATACGCACTAAAATAATTTCTATCATATATTTCCTATAGTTCAAACATAATAATCGAATTAACGTTAAAGCTTTGAGACAGCATCATTGCATATTTGCAGGTGTTTTTCGACTTGATGCGTGAAATAAGGTCACGCAAGATCGAAGACAAGTCGGCGAGTAATGGTCGTGAAAAGGATCGTGCCAAGCGGAAGAAAAAGAAGTGCATTATTCTATAGGTTTGCTATTTCTTTTCACAGCGCTTTTTTTTTTTTTAAGTTTTAAAACAAAAATAAATTCTAATAGGAGTAAACAAAATTATAGATAATTTATATAAACGTGCCCTTCATGCACGATTTATGTTGGAAGAGAAAAAACAAAAAAGAGATACCATCGAGGATGATAATTAAAAATGATATTTTAAATATGTTATTATTATTCTGTATGTTAATAATATTAACTTTGGTTTTTTTTTTCTTATACGTTATGTTTGTAAATTAATTCTCTTACAAAAAAAAAAAAAAAGAAACAAGAACTGTTAAAAACTTGATTACATATATAAGTAAGAAAAAAAAAAAAGAAATAAAATAATAAGTTAAATAATTTCATGATGCATCTGTATGTGACAGAGAATGATGTAAAAGAAAGATAAAGAAGAAATAATTTTGTTGTTAGACGTGTGTAATTTTTCAACAACATATGTCGCCATTTCTTTTCAAATGATCTATTGAAAATATGATATAACAAAAAAAAATATATATATATATAATCACGTTGATGCCATGCAAAGCCTTTTAATTATTAGATCAAGTAGAATGTGTGCACTTTGCTTTTATAAGTTTTATTATAATATGAATTGACATATATAAAATGATGAAATGCTATTGCACTAACCTTGTAGTTCTATGTTTTGTTTTACGAGGCATAGATTTGATGTGCTTGACAAAATATTTAAGTATACTTGCAATATATAATGTAGAAACATACATTAAGTTTTTATTCTCACTATAATTATATATTTATTTATTTTTTATTTTTTATTTCAAACGATTTATTTAGTCGATACAAATTTATATTTTAAATTTACAATATATATTTTTCTGCGAATTGACAATGTTTTACTAGTTGTTCGATATTTTAATTATCCTCTGTTGAATTGACTATGGCTTTTTTATGCTTTCCAATTTCTGTCATATTTTTTGTTGTTGCATGAAACAAATCCATGTATTATATCTTTATTTATTTAAATAAACAATTTTTTCATCGACGATTAAGAAACTGTTATAATAATTCAATATTTCCTGATAGATATTTTTCATCAAATTTTTAATTACGAATGATTTTATTTACCGACCAAGAAAATTCGTATTTTTTTATTTTATAGAACGATAATAGAATTGAAAATAATTCTATCGTATATAAAAAAAAATAATAAGAGATTTATAAGAATACAAAGTTACCAAAATATAATAACATAATATAATATATGTATATATACATTCTAATATTTTCCACTAAAATTCTAATATAATTTCAATTTCAGTATAAATATATATATATATATGTAATTTACGAAGAATGATTTAATGAAATATCAATATTATTTTCATTTATTACAGGTATTTTTTGATTTAATGCGGGCAATAGCTGCTCGTAAAGCGCAAGAAAATCAAGTGGACGGTGATGAACGTAAGAAAAAGACAAAATGCTGCATCTTGCTCTAACAAAGTAATAATAAATTAAACAAAAAACAAAACAAAAAACGAAATGAAATGAAAAGAAAAGAAATGGAAAAGTATATAGCTTATATGTAAGAAGACATCTAACGCCCAATTTCTGACAACATACATAAAAGAACTGTATTTATACACATTTTGTGACACTATACATAGTTAATGTGACAATTTATAATTTTTATTATAATCTTTATCACCTATTAAAACGTTAAGAAACTACTGAATGTGTATTGAAGCTTTAGCAAAACGTAGATAGGCTTATAATTATATACTCTAATAATACTGAAGAGTGTTACTACAACTTGTCCTTATCGAGAGACATAGTTCCTATCATGAGAAGTTTGCAATACAATTAAATAGATCGTAGAATTTGTTTGGCTAGAAGACACTAATGAGTAGTTTTCTATGGAGCGTGAGAAAAAAAAAAAAGATAAATGAGGAAGTAAAAGTAATACTTGACGGTATGTACACATTTGCGAATAAACATTTTTTATAATTGCAAGCATATCTCGTAACATATTAACACAATTAATGCTTAACAAAATTCTTACATCTTCTTCTTCTTCTTCTTCTTCTAAGAATATTAAGAATTAAATTAATTAATTCTTTCTTTTTTTCTGTTTATTTTTTCAATGTATTATTATTGCTATTATAAAAAAAAAGAAATTTAACAGCTGTGAAATACAGAAGATTTCGTTTCCTGTAATGTATAATTATGTATACAATTATGACGCTATTATTTTTATTATTATTATTATTACTTTATTGCAACAAATATTTTTTGTTATGATATAAAACAGCTTCATTGCATTTATACATTATGTCATCGTAAGATAATAAAGATATTGCTCTCATTTTGAGATAAAAGGTCCAAACTTTGATCTTAAGTGGAAACAAAAGCAAAGAAGTGCACACGTATTATGAGTGGTGGTGTTCCTTATATTAAGGGGATTACTATGTAACTTTATTCATACAACGAATGATCACAAAACTTTTGGCACAATCAATTATAACATTACTTATAAATTAAAACAAATCTTTTTTTTTCGCTGGGTGAATTATTATTATTATTACAATCAAGTGTGTTTTATCTTATAAGTGTTAAAATTGAAGTTAACTTTATGCTTATTATTTATGACCAATAAAATTTTTACTTGATAATTATTTATCGACTGATCGTTTGATGTAATTATGTCTTATTTAACATGTTCATCGCCACAAAACTCAAATTTGGGTGGTCCCAGATAAAACACATTCGATCAACACGTGGCGATTAACCTGTTAATTATACATATACATATATAGATATAATATAAATATAAATATTTATGTAAAAGAACTGAATTCATCTAAACAATTAATATATAATATTAATTTGTATGCTTATAATATAATAAGTAATGTGCTCTATATACAAATATAAATAATATTTAAATAGTAAGCACAGGACATATAAGACTAATGCGCATTACTTAAGATATCATAAAGGAAATCAAAAGGCAGATGAGCATTCAATTAATATGACTTACTTTATTGCACCAAATGACCTTTGCTATAGAGTAACTCGAGAAAGTATGCGAACGAGTTATTAATTCATATAAGATAATGTTTTTTAATATTTATAACTTTATTAGATTAAATATATATTCAAATTTTAAAATGTACATTAACTTACTTAATTAATTAATTTGTTCTTTTTATCCTGATGCTCATGTAATATAATTATTTAAAAAAATATTTAATTTTTAATGTATACTTTAAAAAAAAGTCTATATTTCAAACTATAGTAATATTTGTTTTTGTTATATTGCATTACTGACTAGTGTAGTAGTTTCAAAACAATGATGAGACGCGTTCAAATACAATACTTGCGCATACAACTTATAAATAAATTATAATAATAGAAGTAGACAAAAAGAATATAAAATATATATATCTATATAAATATTTTGTTGATGAGTAACATTTTACATCGTTATCGTGATGTAAATAAAATATACGTAGAAAATTAATATGCACTGTATTTCGCGCGCATCTTCTTTCGTGGTAACAATTACTGACAAGAGGGCGCTGCTAAACATTACAACTTATTAAAAGTATTTTTCAATGTGGATAGTTTTCTAGTATTAAAAACACATTAAACTTATCTAAAATAGTTAATAAAATTGTGTGATAAATATAGAGAATATAGAACCAAAAGAATGATCAATACTTATCAATTAATTTAGATAAACGTTTAGTCAGACATCGGTCTTGTCATTTGAACCATAGTTGTTTGTATTCAAACTGAAATTAACTTAGAATTATATCTTTATATTTTTTAAGGAACAATAGGTATTACAATACTGGCAATTACCAAAGTAGCAAGTGTTGGGAATAACTGAAGTAGCCATATGTGGTACCAATCCGCAAGTTTAAAACTGTACCTTGGTGTAGTAGTGGTGATGAGTGAAGGAACGTATGTACAATAGCCTTGAGAAAGAGTATTTTATTCAGGGACAAGCAGTATATACTTAATTATTAATCTAATATTAATATTATACGGGTACTTAAATGAGAAATGATTTTTAAATATATACAAATATCTATTGGTATTTATAACACACTTATGATGAAGTTAGTTTAATAACGTATAATCGATTACACTTGTGGCAACGTACTCAACAAACCATCACTATCACCATCACCATCATCATACTCGTATAAATCATCATCATCATCATCATCATCATCATCATCATCATCTGTTACGAACGATGCCAACATCCCGGTTGTGATAATTGTAATTTTGAGCACATTCACGACAACAGCGCGTCGGAATTAGACGGTAGACGGGAGATTAATAAAGTTTTGATATTTATATACAAAAGGTAGATAGATAAAGCTTGTTGGTGTGAGATAGAGATATTTCATAATAATATTAAGCGAAGTTAACCTAAAATGCGAGGAGTCGTGGACGCTGATGTTATTGTACTGATTAGTGTTCAATTATTGTATTGGTGGTGTGATATTGTATCAGCAAGTGGCGGAGCTTTAGATTCAAGTACGCACATTCAAACTGGGGCTTCCAGTAGCTCCCACTCAAAAACACCAACCTTTACCACATCTCTTACCGATGGCTTGGCACAATTGGTACTTCACGAGTCGAGTAAGTTTCTTCTTACTTATTTTTACTATCAAACCTTTTCATTTACTTTTTAACATTTCCCCTTACACCCAATGCCAATGTTAAATATTCTCCTTGATACATACCATTATATATTTAAATTATTAGTTTGTATCCTGCAAGACATTTATTTTCAAATTTAAGTAAATTATATGATCTATAAAACATGGAATTTTTTACATACGTAATGAGAGAATATATGTGTGCATATATGTTAGTTGTATTTTAGATTAGGCATTCTCCCAATTATTCATGTTTAAATATATGTACTTAATGATTCAGTAACAGCTAAATCGTCTGCAAATCTGAGAAATTCGAGAGAAACAACTCTAAGAATAATAATATGATGCATATATGTCTATCAGATTTTATTCTATTGTACATTAAATTTTTTATTATACTTTTTATTTATATTGAAATTAATTTGTTAAGAAATATATATATATATATATTGAAAAATATTCATACGTGCAATACTCATAAGATTAATTGATTTTTTATTTCTCTGTATAATTGTAGTTTGGTATTTACTATTTATGTCATTAATGCATATCATTAAGTACGTAGAATCATAATATCTTGATGACCTTGTCATATAGTAATTGACTTAGTAGCTATATAATACTAACTAGTATTTTAGTACTATAGATACATTCTTTTTCTTATCCAACCACTAATGTTAAATGCTACTTTTAAATATTACAAACTAATTCTTGTTTCTTTTCTTTTGAAAATTATTAAATGAATAACAGGATAATTTTTCATTTCTTACAGATACGGATACTTGCAACGATGATCTAACTTGTTTGAGAATGAGTACCCAAGATCGACAGGGTTTAGAAGCTATTAAATTATTACATAGTCAGTTAGACGACGATGCTAATGGGAACATAGATCTTTCGGAATCAAATGATGTAAGATAAAATGATTTTATTTATACACATTTTCTCTATATAAAGTATATTTGTTAATATGTTTTTATTTCTAATTAATAGTTTCTAAGAGAAGAATTACAATATGAAGCTGGTTATGAAAGAAGACAGAGAGCTTTTCATCGTAATGATGATATGCATATCAGTGTACAGGAACTTTGGGAGTTATGGGTTAAATCAGAGGTACAACGTGCTAAACAATTTGTTTTATATTATTCCATGATAGAAATATTTTAATAAAAAATTATTTAAAACTTTTTAATTAGGTATATAATTGGACCACAGAACAAACGATAGAATGGTTGACCACAATTGTTGAGCTTCCTCAGTATGTACCTACATTTATACAACATCGTGTGACTGGTGCTACACTGCCAAGGTAGTATAATTACGTACAAAAGCATTAAACATGTTTCAAAAATTCTATATTCCATAATAAACTTGACTGCTTATCATTTTGTTAATAAGATTGATCATTTTCATCTATGCAACTCGTTCTCTTCGTTGGACAGAGTTATCAAAACTTAGGCATGAAGCGAATGTTTTAATATCATGGTAGTTTCTTCATATTTTCTATATCATTCTATTATTATCAATCATATATTAATTATTATTTTAACTCATGATTTTCTTTCCTTTTTAATTAGCCTCTCTTATTCCGTTTAGTTATTTAATACGATTAAAGATTGCAATTATATTAAGAAATAATGTATTAAGTAATTCCCATTTGAAGACTTTGAAATCTAATTTATAAATATATATATATATACAAAGATATCAATTGAAATAATATTCATAACAATGTTTATTATTTGATCGTAGATGTGTAAGATATAATGCATTATAGTTTCATATTATACTTTTTCCTATTTTTAGGATTTAAACAAATTTTTAATCAGAAACGTTCAACTGGTGTTTGTCGTACCTTTTCTTCCATCTATTTAGCCATAAAATAGTAGCGGATAAATAATCTGCTCTTCTTTGAAATATATGGCTATAATGAATGAAAAATAAAGAAACAATTTTTCTATTTTCAAAAAAATCTTTAAAAACTTTAAAAAACTTGTATATGTGATACTGTTACATAATATGTACAATATATTCGGTTAAACTTTGAGTAATCTGCAATTTTTAAAGAGCGTTGTTTACGCATAGGTAACAAAAAAAAATATAAATTGTACAGAGCGATTGGTAATTAAATTTACAAAAAAGAATTACCGTTATTTAATATAAATAATTGAAATCATTGAAAGAGAAAAAGTAAAAACATCATTGCATTCTTTGTGATACGTTCTTTCTTTTTTTATCTTTTTTAAATATCTTTTATTAATTTTGTCAGTAATAATATCATGTGCTTATAGCATTGGATTCATGATTAGTACGTACTATAGTTACGAAGCAAAACTTAGCCGTATAACAGAAAAATTGGGAGAGGTGAGTAAAGGATATAGAAAGCAAGAAACAATTTATTTGCACTCGCACTCCTTTTTATTTAAATGAATGTTATTTATATATATATATATAAAAAAAAAAAAAAAAAAAAAAAAACAATGGTGTACATGTACTTTCAATGAAATAGTTCCTTTCTTAATTATTATAGTAAAGAAAGGAAGTCTCTCAAAACAATTACATCGATACTTCTTTTGCCGATGTTCTTTTAACACAACATATTTCCTAGACATAGTCTTTTGATGTTTTTAGACGCATTCCTGAGACACACTCTCAGTCTTGCTTATAATATCTAAAAGGATACATGGCTGTTACCAAGGAATACTAATGGATCTGGCAAAGAGGCAAATTTATATGATCGGGTGTTCTCTGCATCGCAATATGAAGAAAATTCCGAAAATGGGAAAATACAGTGACTTCCTCTATGGGTTGTGCCATTTGTAATCGGGGTATGTAACGAAGTTAATTATAGCGACGAAAATCTATAATTCAATGAAAACAACAAAATATCAATCTGAAGAGACATATCGTGTAAAAGATGTTTTATAAAATATTTTTCTTGTATATCAAATTAGGATAGAATGATAAAATTTATATTTAAGTATACTTATGCATAAAGATATATACATGCATAAGAAAATGAGGAATAATTCTTAATAGGAAAAGAAAGTATATCGTAAAATCAATAAGATGAAGGTTGTACTCTCTCTGCACCATATTACAAATTATTATTAGGAAAATAATAAAAGAAATTTCTTTTTAAAAAATATAAGTTTCTAAATTAAATATACTCATTTAAAGATCAACAAATTTGATGTACCAATAATGATGAATATATATATATATATATATTATATACAACCGAATGATAAATATATGTAACAGTATCATCATTTAATTGATATTATAAGATAGCGATTAGCCACTGTTCCATCGAGAGAGGGACGACAAAGGGTATTGGAAGAAAAGATATGCGAACTTCTTCAGGTTAATTTAATAAACAAATTTCTAAAGAATAATCGTTTGAGTCCCAAGCAGTGTGATTGTGCTGTTCAAATTTCTTGACGATTTTTTGAAAAACCCTTGAGACTCAAATGGATAATAAAAGCAACAAATATTCGTAATCGTTAATTGACAAATATTTGTTGTATAAATTAAATAGATTTGAAAATTATATCGAATAAAGGACAATGGTAAGAATAGTATCAGTGTATAGGAAGTAGAGATATATATTATATATATATTTTAAAATATTCTTATCTTTTTTCGTGTCTTTAATTACGTGGTAGAATCTATGATTTATAAAAGATATTATCTCTTTTTTTTTTTTTTTTTAGTAGTATTAGATTTTATTTTAAGTATTACGCATGATTCAATTTATTTGCAGATTTCAAAGTCTTACAATTTTCAAATTATTTTTAAGTTCAATATAATTTTGTTATATTTTTATCAGGGAATTATTTGATATTTTTATCTATTCTCGTATACCTTTAATTTGTAAAAATATATGTTATCGTTAGATTTAGCCTTTTATTTTATATTCCGTAGAAATTAATTGAATTTATAAGATTATATATAAATAATGTTTATATTTTCTTTAAAAAGATAGATAAATTAGTATATACGCTTTATTGTTTCATTATATATATCACATTACTAATAATAATTCATTTTAGTATGTCATTAATTTTACTTACATATTTTGTAATCTCACAACACAATGAAATTAATATAATAAATTGCATGTGTGTATCATTAATATTATTTTAGACATTATATATATTTCCTTTTTTGATATCATTAGATTGGCCGTCAACAATGGGCACTACCTTAGTAGTTTTTTGGGAATTAAAGATCCCATACACAAGCAAAAAATTGCTGTTAAAGCAATGGATGTTGTACTATTTGGTCCTCCAAAAGGTAATATTATTATTAAATAATTAGATATATAATAAAATAAATATTAATTATATTTTATTTCTTCTCGATAATGACGTCAACAGATACCGGACATGGCATCAAAGATTTAATACTGGTTATATTATTATTTGGAGCATTAATTGGATGTTGGTATGTATATCAACAAAAAAAAAGTTCACAGAAACATTTGCACAGAATGATGAAAGATATGGAAAGTTTACACAAAGCGGAACTTGCATTGGAAAATTTACAAGTAAACTTTAGTATAATTACAATAATATATTTATATTCTAACAATTATTTTTCTAACATTATCGTAACCATTTGTAGAAAGAATTAGAACGAGCAAAAATGGAACAGGAATCTGCGGCTACTGAAAAAAAGAATTTGGAAAAACGTTTACAAGATGGTACTCTAGGATTACATACTTCGTATTCGGATGTTGAAGTATCACAGTTAAAAGCAGAAATAGAAGTTAATATAATATTAAATTTTATTAATCTATGATATATTAATAAAATACATTTTCAATGTTTTTATATTGTAACGTTAATTTGTAGATGTTGAAATTAGAATTACAAAGAGCGGAAGGTGAACTTGAAGATAGATGTTGGTCACCACCTGCTGGGCTTCAACATTGGCTACAATTGACTCACGAAATTGAAAATAAAGCGTATATGAAGAAAAAAATATCAGCGGAGAAACAATTGCAACAAGCGCGAGAAGCTGTAAGTCGATTATTAAATGTCTTCCTTATAAATCAATTATATATATAGATAATATATATTATATTTATTACATAATATTAGTGCGAAAAATTACGAAAAAAACGATCGAGTTTAGTTGGAGCATTTGTTTCCACTCATGGGAAGTCCATTGACGAAGTTGATAAAAGTATAGTTGAAGCGAGGACATCATTAAACGAAGTTACTGTTGAATTGCAAGAACGTGTTCACCGTTGGAAACAAATTGAACTTTTGTGTGGCTTCAACATAATTAATAACAATGGTTTGAATTATTTAGAAACTATGTTGTACAGAGGAGCATCCAATGGTCGTGGTTTTGGATTAAGAGGTATTTAATGAACAACATATGTTATACGCATAGTTTTTATTTAAAAAGTGCTATACTTACATTATATTAATTATTATTTATTATTTATAGGTCGACTCAGTAGTCAAGATGATTTGGATGACGATACAAGTTCAATATATACATCATCATCCCCTGGTGCTGCAGGTAAGATAGACACGGAGATGCATGAAAACTTAGACTGATTAATTTTGATGCATCATGCAGATACTTACATATATATAATGCGTATTGTAGAAATCATATTTTAATCATTTTGGAGAATATAAATACTGTTAGTATTGAAGTTATTCAAGTTATCCAAATGTTTACTTCCTACCATTTATCATATTATCTGTTTAAATCTTGTACTATACATTTGATTTATTAATGTATAGATATACATATATATATATATATATNATATATATATATATATATATATATATATATATATACATATATATGTATAGAAACGTAAAATGTATATAATATATATATACACACTATTTTTATAAAATACAATTATTGTATGGATAAATTAAATGGATTGTTTTTATATATATAAAATACCTTTTTACTATATAAAATAGATTACTAACGACGATATTAAAGAACTTACGTTATTTACAGTTTCCTTTTGTTTTGATATTGTATTATTTATATTAATTAGATTTTAATGAGTTATGCCATATGGCATTATTATTCACAGGTATGTTGGAGAACATGAATTGGAAGGAATCATCTATACCACCTGACTCGTCTAGCGGTGAAACAGGTAAGGATACTCCGCCCGAAGTCGTTCATTTTACGGTTGGTGACAGCAATGAAGAAAGTACTATGGTACCATCGATTAAAGAGAAGACTGGTATGACTCGATCATATAGTCAGGAAACCAACATGGCCATAGTTGACGATAAAACAACTTCATCATTCCTATCAAAGACTTCATATTCGGAAAACTCATTAGATATGTCTGAGAAATCAGGATATCGTGCTCTCTTAGCGAAAAGGCCACTCAAAGAACTACCCACTGTGATGTCGATGGACGATGAAACGCTATCGACAGATTCCAATTCAACAGCTGACAATGAAGAAGTAAAACGCCGACGCAGGAAACTTCATTTTCCAGCATTCAGGAAGAATAAAACTAAAATTACGTGATGTTCAATAGTCCCAATATCAAATATGTTAAAAATTCATTCAAGACATATCCCAGACATGCACTTACAAATTATAATTAGGTAATATATAGTGTATGTGCCTATCTTAGGTATAGTTTCGCGTGCGGTGTATGTAGTGGCCTTACCGGCAGGGTGTCCATAATGTTCGAACTCCTTCAGTGAGCGGCACTTTTTTTTTTTTTTTTAATAAGCATACGTGATATATGGTCTGTATATCGTAATTGAAAAAAGAAAAAAAAAACAAACAAACAAAAATATGATAAATATATTTACGGAGAGTCGAACATACTACTGTCAACTTAAAAATGTTTCTATCAATGCATCGCCGATTGAATTTTTCCAATAGACCAAAAAGCGAAGCAGCCCGATTGGCAGCCCTTTTTATCTGCTTGATTATTCCATTCGAAAGTGTGCATAATTGTGATTAGCAGAGATGGAGGTGCAGCCAAGACGTGTAAGGTGCAATTATCCCTTGGCCTATTATTGTCTACTAGGCATTTGTTAATCTTATTTTGTCGCATTATTAAGTAATTCGAATAATTCATAAGTATGGATTTATTTCTTTCCATTAAAACCATTTTAAATGGTCAGAATACACGTAACATTATTACACGATCACCCTATATTGCGTTATTATTTAAATATCCAGTATTGTTACTTAAAACGTTTGGTATTCCTTTTACCCCAATCACCAAACGTTTTTTGTACCTATACAATTATTTCACATACCACTGTGCAAAGTATTTAATGTCTAATTAAAATAGATTTTTACATAAAATGATATTATGATTCAAAATGACAATATATATGTATAGTTTTTGAAAAAGAACTTTTTTTCCAGTAAATTTTAATTGTAAAATGTTTATGAGATGATGAAAATAATAGTAATATAGTAATAGTATAATGATAATAATTATAATAATAATACAAGATATTTAAATAATTATAAATAGGGTATTTCTTTTTACAATGATACTATTGTTCCTAATGTGATCTGATGTATTCTCTCTCTCTCTCTTTCTCTCTCTTTCTCTCTATCCCCTTTCTGTCTCTCTTTCTTTCTTTCTTTCTCTTTATCTCATGTACAAGTACTTTTTATACAATAATTTTAGAAATGATTAATGTATCATTTAAAATACAGGTGTTTAAAATTAAGGAAAAAGAAAAAATGAACAAGTATTTTTGTTCAGATATGAATATTAAACGTAATTTCTCTTCTGTGAAATAATTTGACTTTAACTTGAAAACGTTACTTAGATGAAAGTATTTGAGGTGTAACATTCTAATTCCGTTTAACAACTGTAATGTATTTAATGTTATGTGTTACCCTGTTTACTCTTAACTTCGTGTTATATTTCCCCGTTTTAAAATAAATTATTAGTAATAGCAATCAAAAAATCCATAAAGATTACTTATTAGGTCAAACCCACTTTCATATGATGATCATTATATAACAAATGGAAATATAATAGAATATCAATAATATGTAAACTAAACAGAATGAAAATAATTATTAAAATCGAATAACATTCTATAGGAGAAAAATTATTCATTATTTAATTCATCATTTTTATAATCAATAATTTCATTTACTTAATAATGTAATTGCAATAATCAATACTTCTGAAAAGATATTAGCATCATCTTTGTGTCGTTTGAAATTTGCGCCTTTATAAATGTCAATGTAGGTGACAGCACCGTCGGTTGCAGCAGTCTCTATTTATTTATTTTTTGAATTTTTCGCTTCCTAATTAAGATCGACATAAATTCTCGTTTGAAGTATAGTTGTTCGATAAATTAATTATTAAATATTTAGTATAAAAATCATAATTTCTAAGTGATAATTCATATTTTTATTAGAAGTGAATTAAAGTGTTAATTTAAGAGAAATTATAAGTTAAACAGTGTAGAAGAGAGGTTAGCTACTGTAATTACAATCATGGTTGACATGTATTCCACAAAAACAGATGATCAAACCAAATTTTCTCATAATATATACAAAAATAATCCTTTACTTTTTAAAAGTTATATAGGAAAAGAAGCCAAAATTACTGCTGACGATGGAAGCTTATATACTGGTATTGTATATACCGTAGATCCAGTTTCAGAAAGGTAAAACGATTATAATGTTTTTTTTCTTTTTCAACGTGTTTATATTATATTTACTTTTTAAAATGAAATTTTATGTAGCAATAATAGCAGTAGTAAGTAGTAATGATTGTTGTTTCTGCTGCTATTTACACATAATACATTTTTAATTGTACTAAATAATAATCGATTAAATCTTTTCATTATAATCATTTTTTTTTATAGTGTAGTACTTTTAGAAACTAAAGAAGACAATCATCAAAATTTAAAACTAGTATTTGGACATGCAATAAAGAATATTGAATTAACTACACAAGCGGAAACATCTTTACCAGAGTTATTCCAATTGCCAAACAATCAGCTATCATTATCGGATATTAAGAAAAGAAAAAATATTGTTAAAGATTATTTATTAAAATCTAGATTTCCAGTTGTAGATATCGATGATATTTTATGTATCGAAGACAGTGTTTCCATAAAACCACCATATGATGCAGAGCATTGTGTATCCACTAACGTTATTATATTAAATAGAATACAAGATATTATTCGCAATATTAAAGAATAAAATATTATTTACGTGTGTGTTTATATGATAAATTTTTTAAATGTATAACAATATTTAAATAATCATAAGATTAAATTTTTATTTGTTAGCTTTGATATAATTCATTTATTTAGAAAAATAAATTTGCAATTTATATATATATATATATAAAAAGAAAACAGAAAAAAAACATATTTGTATATTTGCAGGTAAACATTAAAATTAATTTGTATGATTAATTGTAATAATTAGTTAGAGGAATTAAAATAATCTATGTCATTATAGCAACATTATAATAAAAGAGGTACACAACAAAATCACAATATTCAAGATAGTTGTATAATAGAAAATATATACAGAGAATGATTGGTTAATTAATAGTTTGGGCAACGAACAAATCGAATAACAAATTTGTATTTGGATAATTAATATCTTGCAGAACAAATGCGACAAAAAGAAGAGACAAATCATGTAAGGTTTGTAGAATTATATTTTGCTGCCAAACATTGTTTTTGAACGAATTATATTCATTAACCAATCACCCACTATAATTCGCTAATAAATATCAGTAATGATAATAAATGAATTACATAGTCTTTTTGAGGTTGCAGTTAATGAATATATTGATATGAATCATTCTAATTTTTGTTTTTTTTAATTGAATAAATTTTCAATCAAATTCCTTTATCAATTTTACTTGTCAAAAAGTTGATGTATTAAAATACTTATGATTTAGATAAAAAGATTTAAAATCTAATATATATATATATATAAGAAGTTTTATATCAAGCCATATTATATAGAAAATATTGAAGTATAACAAGAAAAAGTTTTTTATGAAATTTATACAAAATTTGATATCTTTTGTTAATATTTATATTATTAATACATATTAAAAAAAGAAAAAAAACATGATTTAGAAAATTCTACCAAACTTATTATAAATCGTTAAATATAATTTTGTGTTTGAGAAATAATATTTTTCAATCTAATTCGTAAATTATACAATTGAAAAGTTTTGTGCATTTTTGAAATCTTTAAATATTCATATATAATAGGGCTTTTTAAAGTGTAGTTAACGATCTCATCAAATGAAAAAATTTAAAGAGCCCTACTACATGAAATATCTGTTAAATAAAATATAAAATCATTGACATCAATTATTTGAAATGAAATTAACTGCAAAACATCCATCATTGAAAAATATCATAGTTTTAAATTTGATAATGTTTCATATAATTAAAAATAAATAATTCACATTCTTGTTTTTTTTTTTTTTTTTTATCATTTGAAATGATAAGAATATAATACAATAACTCTTGAAAGTAAAATGATAAGGATACCTTTTATCACTATGACTATCGATAATTTTTCATTTTTATAAGTGTACGATAAGTTGCACTTTTCTTTTTAAACAGAATAGCAAGTTATTCTTATTCTGTATATATTACACGTTATAGATAATAAAATAATATAAATAACTATATTATTTTTTTATCGTACAATATTATGTATATTAATAATATAAATAGCAATATATATATATATTTACTACATTAGTAAATATTAAATTTTGTGAAATATTATTATCTTAATTTTTATTTTTTTTTTCCTTTTTCATTAATAAAACTCGCATCACTGATATACGTTGCTTGGACAATTTTTAATTTCTGTGTAAGTAATATTTGTAAGAATTAATAATGTAAGAATAAGTATACATATATTGATAAATGCTTGAAAAAAATTGCGATGGTGCTCAAAAAATCTAATTTCGTGTTGGACAAAAAAATGATTGAATGCTAAGAACTTTACTTGTGGAATATACATAGTTTCGTAAGCACTTTTAACTTGATTTTAAATTTTTTTAATTATTTCAATTGATTGCATAGCTTTGAACTAAAAATAATGTTTTTCAAAACTAATGCATTTTAATTATATAATAACAATCATCTAAATAATTTAATACTTATATTTTCATTTGTTATTATCATACGAATCTTATGTAAAGTTATATTGTGACTGTTTTAAAGCTTTTAGAGATATCTTTAAAAATCTTGGAACAAAAAGACAGAAAAAGAAAATGAACTAATTAAAGAGATTTACTAAGCTATGAGGTAGGTCATTCCGTTTCATTATCAGAATAATACTCTATAGGATTTGGATCACGAGGTTTGCGCGAATACTTTAATCCAAATTTATTAGCTAGTTTTTCAACGTGTAATAACACCTGAAAAATATATGAAAAACATCACGTTAATAAAAAAAAAATGAAAAGAAAAAAGAAACAAATGTATATTCATCGATGATTGTTACTTACATAATCTAAGTGTTCCTTTGTGTGTGAAGCAGAAAGACAAAAGCGTATTCTAGCTTCCATTAGAGGTGTTGCAGGAAATCCAACGCCGACCGTTGCTATATTATATTTTGTAAAACCACGTACTACTGCCCTGTTATATCATCAATATTTTTCATTTGAATTTGAATCTTATCTCTCTTTTCTTTTTCTATTTGTTTTAAATATGACATAAAAATGATTAAAACGTACCAAACTTTGGAAAATAAATAAACTAGCATCGGTGCTATAGGTGAATCTTCATTTCCATAAATAATAACACCGATTTGATTCAACCTACGTCTAAAATATCTGACATTCCTTGCCAATTGTTTGAGACGTTTCTTTCCGGCATCAGATCCATCCTCACCTGAGATGATTTTCATAGATGCGATAATTTGTTGCGCTATTGGAGGCGACATGGAACTTGCATAAGTATGAGCATGACTATGTACCCGTAAATAATTGATTAAAGTCTATAAACAAAATAAATATAATGTTGTTATAAATGATAAATAGAATATAGCAGAAAAAGATAATCATTTATTATTAAATCATACTTTTGATCCGGCTATATATCCTCCAGCAGATCCAAAACTTTTTGTAAATGTTCCCATTAGTATATCAACTTCACGAGGATCTATACCATAATAATCACAAACTCCTCGGCCATTTTTTCCTATTGCACCGATACTATGAGCCTCGTCCATATAAAGATAAGCCTATAAAATTTCACAATAATAATGAATTATTTATCAATTATTTACAATTGTAATCTTTAGTTTTAAATGTAATTTTTGTATCAATCTTATTTCTTGCATAAGATGATAAAAATATAAATAATTACGAAGAATTATTAAATAATTTCAACAATTTGTGATTAATATAATATTATGACATATATGAAATATATAATATAATTATGGTTAATCGTTAATATTATTATACTTTATGAGATTGTGAATTGTTGACAAAATTCAATATTCCAAAATTATACCAACTTTGTACTTTTTTTTCAGTTCTATAATTTCAGGAAGGTGTACTATAGATCCTTCCATCGAATAAATGCCCTCGACTATTATAACTATTTTCTTCCATGGTTTACCGGTTTTGGGTTGACCGTAAACTATTGCTTTCTTTAATATATCTTCCAAATGTTTTACATCTGCAATAATTTAGACACATGCGCGTATTTTTTACCAATTCATTCATATCATTTGTAAAATAGTATATCCACTCTTACTGTTATGTTTAAAAACACGTGCCGTTGCTCCTGATAATCTTAATCCAAGTATAAGCGATGCATGATTTTTCTCATCGCTTACCACCAAACAGTCTTTATCAACAAGACATGGTAAATTTAATGCGTTTGTAGCAAATCCCATTCCAAATACTATGGCATCTTCGACTCCCAAAAACCTAGCTGTTAATTTTTCTAAATCTTCATGGATAGGCAAGTTTCCTAATAGACAAAGAATTCTTATAATTGAAATTTAATTTAAATCTATTAAGTATTACAACAACAACAACAACAACAAATATATATATATTTTTACCTAATTCAAGACGATTACTGCAGGTTGCACAACCTAATCTTTTGATAATCTCAACACTTTGTTCTGTACATTCTCCAGTTGATTCTGCAAAGCCTAAATAATTGTAAGATCCCAAATTTATACAATGTCTTTCAGATCCAGTAAACCTGTCAATACGTTATGTCTCATTAATATTAACGATTAATAATTGAATAGATTTCTTTATAGTCACTTACTGAAAGGTCCAACCATAATCATGAGTGACACGATCTTTTAACGTAACCACTGCACCAGGTACAGAACATATTGGTCTATTCCAACAATCCCTTACTCTTCTGTAGACGTATAGAAGATAAAATTTTTCAAAATGATTATACAGTGGTGCGTAACCCTGAAATTAATAATATATACATATACATATATATATATATATATATATATATATATATATATGTACATATTAAATGCTATTGTTTTTTATATGAATTGATCTTACTTGGCGATTCTTTTCCTGAGCTACTTTTGGTGTAAAGAAAAATTGATTTACAACACCTAAAATCATAAGAATGTAAAAGCCAATGTATGTTAATACTTTAGTTATAAATGTAACCTTCTCAAAGGATTCTTTCGAGTGAACTTGTGTTTCAAGTGAACTTTTTTTTATATCATTTGTATGATTCTTGGAACACTGAAACATACATAGAGATATTTTCATTTTTATATTTATTATATCATTATTTCAAGACTTTCTTATCAAAATAAAAAAGATATACTAGTTTTTGTATTATATATATANATATAAAATGATAAAATAACTTAATTCATATCAAATTTTTGTAAATATTTACAAATACAGATACTTCTTTATTAGTAAAGTTAGATTTTTTTTTTTTAGAATAAAATATTTTATATTATTATATTAATTATTATTATATTATTATATAAATTATTATATTAATTTATTTTAAATTTAGAAGACATTATATATTGAGATATTAGTTCTAATTAAGTATGATTAACTTTTTATCTTTTTCTAATGCAAGTTTTATAAAATAGAAAAAAAAAAAAAATAAAATGTGATAATATGTGATAACAAATAAAAAAAAATTTTCTGGTAAATATTTTACACAGAATTATATATATATATATATATACATGTTCGTATCAATAAAATTATATTAGTATGCAAAAATTGTATAAATTGAGTAATCATTCTAAGAAAAAGAAAAGAAAAAAAAAGAGATACTTTACTTTGTAAATTTGATATCAATCAAACTGTTGGTTTAATGATCAAATATTATTCTACAACTGAGATTAATTAGAAGATGTATTTAAAAATCGAATAATCAATTTAAAAAAGTTGCATAAATGCGTACAGTTACGTGAATAATAAGGTCAATGAAAGAAATTGTTTGATTGTATAAAAAATAATTGTAATAATAATAATAAAAAAAATAAAATAATAGAATTCTATTAAAAACAAAAGAATAATAATAATAATAATAATAATAATAATAATAATAATGAAAACTACTTTATCAAATGAGGAAATAATTAAATATATAATATCATATATTTTATATAACCCACATATATAATTATGTTAGAAATTTGGGATAATGTTATAATAGTATAGTGATACTAAAAATAAGGTCGATGAGATAAATCGATTGTAGGGGAAATAAAAGAGAAAACGTTTAAAGAAAAAAAAGATTAAAAGAAGAAAAATAATTAATAATTTCTTTACAAAGTGAATTAGTGATTAGACATATTAAACATTAAGAAAAAACAAGAAATCATCTAATCGGTGATAAAAAGAAACATGATAAAGTAGCAGTGTCGCATAGTCTCACATGTGACACAGAGGGCTGGCTAGATGCACCACTACACTTACCCGTACATGACCATTGCTCTGCAATACAGCATAACCGTTAGTTTTACAATTTATCAACGAGTCATCGTACGAGGTTAAACTGTTCTTCATCTGATCACTAACATCCTTATCCTCATCCCACGTCGTTTTTACAATTGGATCAACGTCTGCTGCGGATGATATATAAGATCTCGTTTTCCTTGATGTTGCCATAATTTTTTCTCAATTTCTGATACACATAAAAAAAATATATAAATAGAATATAACACACAAGAAGACAATGGCAATGTACAAACAGTAAGAAATATAGTCAATATAAGAGAAAGAATTAACACACAAACAATACGTAAGAAAAATCAACATGTGAGATCCCAAAACATAAACGATTGAATTACCTTTAGAAAATAATGATTTCTTATTAAGGAAAATAAGTGTTAACTGTGTCGCGTACTTCATACAGTTAAAGAAGAACAGTGCCTGTACGAGACTAACCGGTTAACGTCGCGCGTATCAAAGCCCGCTATGTACTTCTCAGCAACCAAGGCAACAAGCGTGTTTCCGTTTTCACGCTTGCGCAATTTGCCCGGCGTTTTAGCTTTATCTTTCTTACTTTCTCTCTCTCTCTCTCTCTCTCTCTCTTTTCTTTTCTTTATTTATCTCTTTTCCTCTTTCTTCTGTCTTAATTTCATCTCTCTTTCTTCGTTTTTTAACCCCCTGTTTGCGCACAATAGACCACCCATCAATTAAATTTAAATATTACAATGTCTATGATACGATAATAATAATAATAATAATAATAATATCAATGATTATATCATTTTAATAATTTGCAAACATACATGACCTCTAATTTTATTTATCCATTTAATTATTAATGCAAATGTGGTGGTACATCTTAAGAAAACGTTTTTGCTCAACTTTATAATGTTTTCTATATTACAAAAGAAATATTAAATTCTAACGAATTATAATAATTATTATTTTATGTAATCATTGAGAAAAGGATAGTTATGAAATTAGACGTATATTGCATTAATATGCCAATGATAACAGAACTTTATTCTAGTATCTTGGCTAATACATTTCTATGTGTGTGCGTGTATTAGTCAATCCTTCTCGCATCCATTTTCTTCAATGTCAGGAACGAATTTTGATATTTTGGCACCCCTTTCTTTATTTTTCGTTTATCCTAGGATTTTTTTTATTTTTCTCTACTTAACAACTTTTTTTCACTGATCAAATTATTTTTGCGACTCTGGGTATAGATTCGATGTCATATTTTCATTTACTTTTTTAAATTTACAGTTGTATTATACGTGTAACGTTGCTAAACTGTTTCTTTATTAATTTTTAGTTATTGTTGAATCAGGAAAGTTTTATTTTCACTCAAATTTCTGCTTACCCATATAGAGTTGCAACCTGCAATTTGAGAAGCTCTGATTTAGTCTTCTCACATCTCAGGGGTTCTCAATTTTGTTTATAACAATAATTTTCATCATTACGTAATTATTTATTTATTTATTTCTATTGCAATCGTTTTAATGTATTTTACATTACTTGAAGTATGCATTTTTATTTTATTTTGATATTATTTAATATATGTTACAAATTTTATATAACCAAATAAGATTAAAGTATTAGCGTATAACGTTCCGTTAGTTTTTATCGATATCAGTTTTCTGACTAATCAAATTCTTAGAACAATTAGTCGACATCACAAGATGTACTGATGAGTACAGATGTACTTTTCTTACCTGTATATATATATGTATATGTATATATCTTATTTGAACGAATGTCATTATAAAACCTTGTTCGATTTCTATTTTCAGAATTACATTGCCGTAAAATAAAGAAAAATTACATTTCTTTCTTTACGAGAAATATTTTGTTTTAAATATTCAAAATATACGTTTATAAATAAAATTATTATTTTATAACTACATTCATTAATAAAACAATTGTATTCTTTATTTGTCTACATATAAATAATCTTTACAATTGTATTATTAATTAAAGAACATTTTATATACGTATAGATAATTAAAAATATAAAAATATATGTTTAAATATTAAAATTGAATTGTGTCATAATGCGTAAACGCATTCGTATTACGCGCGCATTAAATCGACGTCGAGTTTTATAAGAACGCTCGCGATTGGTCTAACGTGCCGGCACATCAGTGACGTAGCAAAAAAAGGGGTAAAGGGCAGGGGGCGCGCTGGACCGATTGCGAAACGTAAACCTAACACGAATAATAAACACAATATACGAAAAAAAGGCTAAAGACCCTTCTCTCCAAATAAAAGGAACATAATAGAGAATAGAAATTCGATGAATTAGGAAAATGAAAAGAAATTTAAGAATGTTTACAATTCGTTGATGGAAACGTCAGCTTTTGGTGGTTCTTATTATAGATTTCCCCCCTCTCTTTCTCTATCTTTCTCACTCGTTCTATACCTCGCATCTACGCACAGTTTTCTCCCACTCATCTTCTCTTTCTCCATCTCTCTCTAGCGTTATCCCTACCACCCGTGCACTTGACGTATTCTGGTTCTCCGGCTGTCACTTTGACGTTTTCTAGTGCAAGGAAAGAGCGCGTGTAAAAAGCCGATAAAAATATATCCGGTGTGTGAGCCTTTTCATTCAACCGAACTGTTTTTTCGTTCTGAGCCGGTGAGTTTTCAGAGATACACGGACGTTAAGTACATACATATATACATATATACATACTTGATTGTAATAAAAGGTTAGGAATTCGGATAGTTAACCGGAAGAGAACGGTTATTGGATAAAGAGAGAAAGAGAGATAAAGATAGAAAAAAATCTTTTGAAGAAGAAACTTCGTGTACATAGAATCATAAATCAGAGAAAGAAAGAAAGATAACAAGAAACATAATTTATATACAAAGTATACTCATATATTAGATTGAAGGATAAGCCTTTTGCACGTGTGTCTTTCTCGAGGAAAGGATAGGGTGAATAAAAACGGTCGTCGGCAGCAGCGCCGTCGGCGTTTATCGTCGGCGCGACGTCGGTGAGAAGGAGCGCGAAGGAACCGAGGATACGCATTCGTGATTATCTTCTCGTTACGAATACATCGAAGATTGAAATTAATTTTTAATTAATCAAAGGATATAATATATAAAGGCGAGTTAACGTTGCTACGCTCCTGAAAATTAAAATCGAAGAAGAAGAACAACAACGGGGAGTACAAGTTTGTTGCTGTCTCTGTTGTACGTTTTTGACGCATCGTACACGGAACAGGATACGACAGGACCTGGCTAACACCTGCATATACATATACATATATTAATATATATATATATTTGCTAAGGTATCGAAAGTAGAGAAAAATTAGAAAGGAGATAGAAATAATAATAAGAAGAAGTAGAAGAGGAGGAGGAGAAGTAGTAGAAGAAGAAGAAGAAGAAGAAGATGTCGATAACGTCAGAGGAGAGTCAAATAACGACAGTTATGGAAGAACCTAAGAAGGATACCGATTCGAAAATCGAGGATATCGTTGGTACGATTAAACGCGAGCACGATTCCACCGACGATTTCGAACGAGTCGAGCCTGAGAATTTGCTCGGGGAGTTGAGTAATAAAAAGAAGGATAACGATGATGAAAATGCTGATGGTGATTCGAAAGAGGTGAAGGGAGAGGTAAAAAAGGAGGAGGAGAAGGAGAAGGAAGAGAAGGAGAAAGGTGAGAAAAAAGAAGGTGGGGGACTTGTGGAAGAAGAAAAAGCTAAGTCCGAGGGACAACAATCATCAGTTTTGGAACCGCCACGTGTGCAAGAAGATCATCCGGTAGCAGCAGACTCTATGGATCCCGAAGTTCAAACGAAGCATGAACAGTTACCAACTTGTACAATACCTAAACGTACCTTCCTAAACGAACAGGAGGAACGGGAGGTGCAAAAAGAGGAGGAGCTGGGGAAGAGGGAGGAGTTGGAGGAGGAGGAAAAGGCTTTACCCGCCACCCCGCCACCTTCCGCTGATATCGAGAAATACGATTCCATGGCGGATCCGTTTCAACGACCGGCAGGTAGGACAACTTCCGCGGAAGGGTTCAACCCTAAGGCTGCCACTGTCGCTTTCGTGGAAATTGAACGTACCGCATCGGCACCACCACCACCACCACCCCATACTTTACCAACAAGCAACACTGATAACAACCTACTCCTTGATTTCTCTGACAACAACATACACAACACCGTGACTTCTACAAGCAATATCAACAAAGACGCGTTAATATCTTCTACTATTGCTACTACTGCTCCTGTATCTGATCAAACGAAAATGAATGACGATCAGAGCTCTAATCTTACAAAGAAAGATATGCCGGAAAAAGAAAATTTAAGTTCCTTTGAACCACTTGATTCTGATTCTACTCATTCATCGACTACTCCATCCGCACCTGTAATCAAATCAAACAAAGAAAGTACCGATATCGTTTTGAGTAGTAGTCACGATTCTTCGAAGGAACTCGCCGATGACCTTGTTACGAGTAACGATCAATTTTCAGCAGATCATTGGGCATTTAAAGATACAAATGAGACCGTTTCAACGATCTCAGATAACGTCAACGACATTGTCAAAGATACGACTGCGATTAAAACGGAACCAACACAAATCACAAATACAAAAATTCTAACGAGCAAGAGGACTGATCAAAAGGATGATAAAACATCTAATTCTACTACAAAATCCGAATCCAAGACTGTTTCTAGTATATCCAAATTGTCCACCCAGGATGATGGAAAGAAAGATGCAAGATATAATGTTGATAAACCCGAAAACAGGATTCAGGACATTGAAATAGCGCCAAAGGAAATCTTCAGGGACATGGGGCTCGGTAAGTTAGACATATACATTTTCGCATAACTCTACCATCGCATCATATCGTTTAAAATCGATATATTTACTCGCTGCATTGCATCATCACCGAATAAAAAAGTTTTCTTTTCGTGACACGTGTCTGCCATACATAAAAAGCTGATCCTATTGAAAACAGTTTTTATCTCGAACGATAAATCATTTTTAATAGTTTCACGTTATCGGATTAATATTAATTAAGAAAATGGTTAAAAAGAAAATATATATTATAATATATTAATTAATATATCAGTAGATTTATTTAAATCATTATCATCATTTTCAATTTTACATATGAGTGGTACTTGACTGATAATGTTTGACATTTTCATTGGCAAGGGTAGATAACAATTTTTTCCATCAAGTAAATTCTTATATTACGTTAAACCCCACAATCGAATTGCGAAATATTTTGTCATGGTTGATGATGATGATGAGTCACACTTTTCAAGAGATTAAAATAAACTTAAAGGTTGATTCATAAGCGAACGAAATACGTTGAAGCATTTATATACACACGTACAAAAAGAATTGTTTCCAACCAATCTTGGCTGACAAGAAGTCAAAAGAAGGAGGAGTAGGAGGAGGAACTCAACTATGTTATTTCTTTCACGTTTCTTGTAACGAAAGGATATTTAAGTATGGAAGGGGGAAAGGAAAATGGATGAAGGTATATAGGAGTCATGCGACAAATATCTAAAAATAAACGATTAGCTGTTGTGTGGAATGAAAAAGAGTAAACCATTCAATTTCGTTATTAAGATGTTCGTTTAACACTTTAACACACTTCCTTCCTTTGCATAACAATTATTAGCTTGATTTACTTCATACAAAAGTATTTTCTAAAGTTTTAGTATATAATAATGGGACATATAGAAAATAATTATTTTTCATACCATATATATATAGATTAATAAATTATATTAAATAAATAATATGCGGAATTGTTCCCTTATATGGTCCGAAGATATGAATAATTATTACCGTTACGTGGATACATGCTAATCGCTCCATATGCTCATTGACCGGGCTATTCCTATAGTTTGGTCTCGTCATAATTTAATTATATTCTCACGATTAGACTTCGAGGATGAATAAGATTGAGAAATAATTAACTTTATAAATTTCTTTCTACCTTTTTTTTTTTTTTCTTCCTTTCTTTCTTTATTAATAATAACACGTAACAAATTATAGATTTAGATGATCAGTAGACACCTTAAAGTGTTGTTAATTATTAATTTCTTTTTTTCTTACAAGACATAATTTGATTAATTTCCTTTTCTATAATTCATGAAAAAGTTTGTGTAAAAAAAGAAAAAAACTGCTTTTTTGTAATCACTTGTCGTCAAACTGGTAGAAAGATTAAAAACGCGCATATTATATTTGATTAATTGGTATTTAAACGATAGTTTTTATTTGTGGATTAGCACTTGCGGTCAAGGCACTTAAGATTCTATCTATTTATGTTCGCCTGATATTTCTTATAATAATAATAATAGTAATTATTGAAGAGATAAGATGAAAGAACGTATAATGATAGCCTTTGGTGTAACTTAAATCGTCTTAGTAAGTATTGATTACTACAGTTTATTGATCCGAACTGTCTCTCTCTTTCTCTCTCTTACTGCAGTACTCAATAGGTATATGTGACACACCTTTGTGAACACTATTTCGTATTATATTCAGACATAATGACGTAATTTTATTTAGTAAAAAAAATATCCATCAGAGTATAAAATTAAATCGATCAATTATATTATCAGTATGGCGTATGGCCTATCTTTACATAGGATAAAGAAACTAAATAGAAAGTTCAAGCGGTGATGATAATTGTGCAAACTGTTGAAAGATCAGACATTATATTTTTCCATGTAATCTTTTTACATAGTTTCTTTTCTTTTAACACCTGTTCACAAATTGCATGTTTCTCTTAGTTTGCACCTTTTTGTCGAAACAAGTTACTTTCCTATAAGTAAGCTATTCAATTGTTTATACATTTGTATTTATATAAGTGGAAAAATAAGTCATTGGTATTTAGGTTTCTGAGAGAAATAGATCTTATTATTATTTTTTTTTAATACTGTTTTTATTATAATATTTATAGTAATTATCTCGTATATAATTTACAACAAATTTGATCTCAAAAGTTAGTTCTATCTCATCAACAGTGTTGATAATATCGATAATCTTTTTACCGACAGTATAACAAATCTACAGTCGGTATGGTAGGTTTCTTTTTTTTAAATATATATCTGATGTAATCTAGCGAGAGAAAGTAGGAATCTTCTTTTTCATAGTAACTTGAAACAAACGCGTAATTTAGCATTAATTGTAAGTAAGTAAGTGATACTTACGTGTTAGATTCTTGCCAAGGAATTTCAAGGATTCTTCATGTCTCTAGTCTGTTAATGTCAGGCATTTAATGTCGGTCAACGATGACAGAGGTCTCGGCCATCCTTTTAAAAGTAAACGTCATTTTCTGGGTTCAGTCATGATTCAGTCTGGAAGCTGGAGTTGTGACCTCGAGACAGAATTTCTTTGCTGGTCTTCTCAGATTTCTAACTTGTAGTATATACGATCGGATTTCAAATATTCGTTAGCTTTAGAAAAAAAATCGTGACAGTGAAAATTCTTGGAGGCCTGCCATATCGATTTTCTTTTGTGATATAATAATATCCAAGGAATTAAAAAAAAAAAATTAGAAAGGAATAATCTAACGATAATAAAAATAATAATCAATTTTTCCTTATTAAAAATTTACAATAAATATTATAAATAATACGCTTATTAATTTTTCAACTACGCGTCGTATTGGTCGTATAGAAAGTCTAGACTTCCCTATTTTTTTTTTTTTCTAGAAAGTAACGCAAGTAAGATCATACTAAATTCATTGAGCATAATTTAGTGCGTGTTCGATATATTCCCCCGCGAAGAAAAAAGGTTTTTACAGTCTATTACAGTCTGAGGGTTTGTCTTTAGTTTATGTGGGCGCCTATATGTCTCCTGCAAGTAGTCGTTCTAATCCCTCGACCAGTAAAGTATCTTGTTTCTGACCCTTTCTTCTTCCCTGCTCACTCATTTATTCATAAAGCTCCCTCCGCTTTTGAAATTAGCGCATGCGTCTTAGGTTACGTTAGAAAGAATCGATGAACTATCGAATAAGTATAGTTTATACGTGTATAAGAAATTTTTTTCTTTTACGATTTACATAATCGCGTTAGAAACATTCGTAAAAAAGGTTTAATTAAAAATATTTCAATATCCAATTTAAATATAATTCAAAAATTGGCGGTACTAAAGAAGATCCTGTATATAGTTCGAAATATCGTCACTGGAGGTAATCAAAGCGCTGTAGTCGAAATTAATGTATAGATGTGCGGTGAGAGGCAGGTGTAGTATAAAGGTGGAAAGGAACGGGAAACTATAAGGGAAAGGGTGATGAGGTTTGTGGTGATGGTAACATGGAAGGATAGAAGAGTAGGATAGGTAGGATAGGAAAGGAAGAGAGAGAGAGAGATAAAGAAAAAGGGTATAGTATAGTATAGTATAGTATAGTATAGTATAGTATAGTATAGTAGAATATAGTATAGTATAGTATAGTATAGTATAGTATAGTATAGTATA